TTTTTTTTTTTTTTTTTTTTTTTTTTTTTCCGAAGACAAAGTAAAACCTCTGAACGCAACTTACCGTGAAAATCAATACTGGCTGCGCTCAACAGTATCGAAGCCAGCAATACGCATCTCTGTCGAAGTAAGCGGTGAGTTTGTCAAACGGGATTTTTTTCTTATTAAAAATTTAATTTTTGACAAAACATTAGACTCACCCAAATCAGAGACATTCCTCCTGTCGAATGTAGCGTAGAGCCAGTGTCCGAGGCGAGTAACGAATAACTAAACTCATGAAGCAAAACGTGTTTCCCTTTATAAGCCTTTTCCAGTTGCGCTCGAGGTGTCGTTATGCTCGATCGGCTCGGTGGAATATCATCGATTTTATGCTTTCGATTTCTTTGTTGTTGGACCCGCGACTAGAGCAGCGGACATTGTAAGTGAATTTATAATCGCGGCACAAGTCGAAGCGTGACCGAACTATAATAATTTTCAATTAGATAGGGGCTCCTCTGCCGGTATTACAGTTTACTTGGTGACCGATTATTGTCTTTCATTAGATTCTTCCAGCTACGTCAGCTTTTCATAGGGATTCAATCAGATCAGAGTCTTGTATACGTTCGTAATTACAATTCTGATCTTGGAGATTCGGTTAAACGTGACACTTCGCATGGTATTGACATTGCGAAATGGATCTGAAAATACGTATCTTTCTGATGCCAAATAAGAAATCAGTATTTTCTCCAAGGTCCGTTCAACTCATTCTTATCTTACCGCTGTGTAATCGGTTAGATTTTATGCGGTTTTCAGTGACAAATTCTTCTCTTCTGTGCCTCTTCTACTGTCTGCGAGCGCTTGCCTTCTCATTTCATTCTGGTACTTGATTGCAACAATCGATTGTTGTGAAATAACAAGCAACGAAGATCAGAACTGAAATTTCCTTCAATAAAATTGATACTTTTTATTTCTTACATGCACGAATTATGTCACATGGTAAAAACCTTATGTTACGTCCAATAAATCATTATTCCTTCCTGTAACCCGCGCCGTCGTGTATCCGCCTGAATAAAAGATTATTGCCTGGACAATCGCAAGATTCACAAATTATATATTACGGAAGAGGAGTGGAGTAAGGGTATCGGTACGCGTTGGTAGATGCTGCTGTATATATTAAAATATTCTATATCGTATAGTGCTATATATATATATATATGTATGTATATGTAGAGTAAAATCTTCCTGTCACTAAGCAAAATATCAGTATTACTGTAGCATTATGACTTCTAGGATTCACGAAATAACATTTTCTATTTACAATAAAGTCGCGAGAGATTAAAATCTTTCGAAAAAGTCTTTGGATAACCAAAAAAAATATCTTGCTTTTTTTTTTTATTTTTTTTTTTCCCCACGATTTCCTCACTTATACACGTTTTCCCTTTATTTTTGCTTCATTGTGCGTTACGAGCGGACGATTAGTAACGATAAAAGGCTAATCGATTGATTATATAAATAGGCTAGCGGCTAATGTTTTCTCGTACGAATGATTAGTAGACTTAACTAATGTCCGGTGCGCGGATAATTGATCTATTCTCGGATTCGCATTAACGAATTGCGAGATAGACCTGTACGTGTGACATCGCTGTAATTAATTCACTTGTTCCAAAAAGCGAAGGCTTTTTGAATTCTCTCGCTGTGGGGCTTTCCGGGCACAGTTGGCGTCACGCGGGGAACGGAAGTCGGAATTTCTTTGATTGGTGAAATCTCTTCTCTCTCGAACATCTTGGCGGTCCGACTGACACTTCCGGTTTGGACAAATCTTCCTTTGCTCAGCCCTGGGCTCTTACTTTCATCGGCTATAAAAAAAAGCAAATAAAACTATGATTAGCTATTGTTCGTCAAACACAATTTAGTCTGTAATTAATCGTGATATGGGAACTAGTATTATTACGTGTCATGAGACTGCTGTTAGTATCATGGAACTGCTGTTAGTATCATGCAAAGCTTTAGACATTAAAATCATTTTCAAATGCTACTTTGTGTCTTTGTTATCCTCAAGGATCCTGAAGTCGATTTGGCCTCGTTCGGGTTAGCACGATCAAATTGCGGTTTGTTAGACTCGAGCGAGGTCCTGGTGGGTCGAAGTTTGACGCCGAATGCCGATTTCAGTAAATCCTCCTTTCCGGGATGTCCTTCGACGTCTTCCTCGGTGATGGTCATACTGGAGAGTTCACCACCTTGGGAGTAAGGGGTCGTGATGGAACAGTCGCTTATTCCGGAGTCACTTCGTTCACTGCAGACTCTTGTCCTTTTCAGACTAGGATCCTTGAAGCCATTGAAATTGACTTCCTCGATGATGGTCGTGGTGATGATTTCGCTGGTGCTCCTCCTGGAGGGTTCCTCGTCTTCCGGTTCAGTTACGCTCGAAGGATAAATCTCCTCGATGTTAGTTTCGGTGCATGACGTCACTTCCACCAGGTCGTTGTTCGACAAGTAAATATCCTCGGGTTCGGATTTACTCAAATTGCAGAATTCTATGTTCACGTCCAGGTACTCTTTGGAACGATTTTCGGATATGATCTCTGAGGATTTGCTCAGTCTGGGATGGGTCACTGACAAACCGGAATCCTCAGAGTTAGTTTCTTTAACAGCTATGTCCTCGGTTTCCAATGATTCAGAATCGTTGCCTACAGCCTCGTGAGATTTTTCGGAAACTTTCTCTAAATTTTCTGCAACCTCATGTTCGTGCGTTTCTGGTGAATCGAGAGAGTCATGCTTCAGATTATTTTCTGATATTTCCGCATTGTCGAGGAAAATCGATTTTTTACTAAGGCGACAGTTACCAAACGATAGTTTAATTTTTTTCGCTTCTTCATCCTCAACGTCTCCATTGACCGATACTTCCTTCTCCTCGATGAACACTTTCCCATTTTTACATATCTCATTCTCTTCCGTAAATTCCTCAGTATCGTTACTCCTGAGATTCTCATCATTTTCAAACGATTCCACTTCCGTTTTCATTACTTCAACTCTGATCTCTTCAAACACTTTCTTGTTCCCTTCCGGTTCAGTCTCAGAGTGACTTTCCTTGACAGTTGATACTTCGGCAGGGATATTGTCCTGATTAATAATATCCAACGGAGGTAAACTTGTGGGTGGGGTTGAGGGTGGCGAATCCGTTATAGAGCTTGTCCTTCTGCTATTGGCCGATAGGTTCGCCATCCTCCCCAGAGCTCGAATGGCATTTCCTGTTTTCTATTTGAAACAAACGAGAGCACACACGCAATACCGTGCTGGAATTAGGACAAATCATGCAAATCACATTTCGAGCATCAAATTGCAATTGGCAAAAATTATAAATTATTAATTAGGCAACGTCTCACTCTTAACCTGGACAATTTCGTGTCTTGACAAAACGTCGGCTCTGGTTTATTACACTCGGAAACGAACTAAAACGTCCTTCGAACTACATAAAAATGAATTACGTACCTGCCACTTTCTTCGAATGATGAATTTCTTTAGTTTCTCCGTCGGAAGAGCAACGCTGCTCATGTTTTCTGTATGCTGCGCCATCCAGGGATGCTTCAAGCAATCACTAGCTGACATGCGTAGTCTGGAATTACATCAAGAAGATCATTAGTCATCGCATTCTCAATTATTATCAGATATCATCCAGACGTCCACTTACTCCTTTCGTTTCTCGAGTAACGCACTGATGAAGTCCTTGGCGTCTTGAGAAATGGCGTCGAAGGCCTCGTCATCGAAATCATAGTCGGCTCGTGTTATATTAGCGAACGTCTCGGCGTCATTGTCACCCATAAAAGGCGAGAGACCAGTCAGTCTAAGTGACAAAATTATATTTATTTAATCTTACGATCGGTGCGATAGATAAACGATAAACCGGTACTTACAGAACGTAACAGATCACACCAACGCTCCACATATCCGACTCGGTGCCGATTGGTTCATAATTTATGATTTCCGGCGGAATGAATTCCGGAGTCCCGAAAAGCACGCGAATCGGTGTGTCCGGTCTGAGCGTTTGGGCTAAACCGAAGTCAATCAGTTTTATCTGATGCGACGTTCTCGTGTGACACATTATATTCTCGGGCTACAAATAGCATTTTTTTTTTGTAAATCGTTCAGACAGTTAAAACAGGCATTGATATAATGAAAAAAAAAGAAAAAAATTTAGTCACCTTCAGGTCAAGATGGACGACTTTGTTCTCATGCATATATTCTACTCCTTCGCAGATTTGCTTCATGAACAATATACTGTCCCTCTCGGTAAGGGTGAAATCGTCAGCGACAACCCTTGTGAAAAGTTCACCCCCGGATATACTGAGAAAGCAAAAGTATACATTATTACATTGAAAATAAGCAATACATTTTTTTTTTCTACTTACTATTCCATCACCATGACGATTTCTCTGGGACCTTCGAATGCCGCGGCAAGTTGCAGCAACTTCGGATGCCTAAGTAAATTCATTATTCTGATTTCCTCGTAAACTTGTTGGCGATCCTTGAGCTTGATAGTCCTGATGAACTTGGCTGCCAGATGCTGTCCCGTCGAGTGTTCCGTGACCTTCCTCACGATTCCATAACGACCCTTCCCGAGTTCCTCCAGGACATCGTAGCGTTCCTTGAACAGCGATCCATCCTCCAAAGAAACTTCACGCGGTTCGAATGCAGGTTTGAATTGATCAACTGCAAAACAAAGTGATCCCACCCATTGAGCGTCATCCGAATCATATAAAATTTCAAGAAAACCCAAAAATCCCAATTCAAAGTACCATCTTCGAGAATCGTAACAAGATTGGACTCTGCGCCAGGATCGCTGGCTCCATGAATATTCTCAGCTCTGATCCGGAAGCTGTATCTCTCTTCCGGAAGTAGCCCGTCGATAGTGTGACTCAAGGAATGACAAGCCTCGGCGACGACTGTCCAGGTCTCCTCTTCGGCGCGACGCATCTCAACGGAGTATCCGGTGACCATGCAGCCTCCGTCGTAGGGTGGTGACCTCCAGGTCACTGTAGCAGTACCAATACCGGAAGTCACTGTGGGATTTCCTGCAGGAGGATCCGGCGGACCTGAAATGATTTCAATGCACGTTGTAAATGTATAAATTTTTATATTTAAATTTAGAAAAAAAAAAATCGTATTTCGATTAACCCACGAATTACGTTTGATCGTATGATTGGTTAAAAAAGGTCAAATAGCTCGGTCCTAGTATGTAGATACAGCAGGGAGTCAAAATGGTCCTTAAAAATACTTTTGTAAATTGACTTTACTACACTATGAACGGAAAGTTCATTATTGCTCGTTGACGGTACATGCTATCTTACGAATGAAAATATTCGCTACTGTACATACATGTGTCGATACCTGCCAACGCGGGTATGTACGTCTCGCATTTTTTCATAAAACCAACAAGCCTATTTAAATCGGTACGAGGCAGCTGTTCATATTTAAATTGTATCGATTGTGAAACACTGTGGTTTTTGGCTCAATTGACATTTTTTCAGTTGCTACGTCAGAACAAATAGCATATCTCACCGAGAACATATAATCGACGATTAAGTAATAAAGTAATATTTAAAAGCGGAAGAGTGCTCGTTGCGCATTTTCCATACAATTTTTGTACCGTTACACGTTATCCGATCGATAGTCTCGCAGTGATTATATATACATATTTATGTGCGTTTCGCTAAAACTTACAAGCCTCGTGTTCGCACGTCATTATACACACGATGATTCACAACCTTCGCGAAAGTCTTCCTCGGAGATTCCTCAATTCCGAGAGTTCGAAACGTTTCCAATGAACTCGCCTGTTATTCTCAACAATTGCATAGTCTCCTTGTTACGAGACTAAAAGAAGCACTGTTATATAAGAGTAACGTGAAAAGTTTTACAAATTAATAACCAGACACGTATAGACCGTAACGGTTTTAATTATCACTGAAATTGTCAGTCGTACAGTGGTAAAACAACGCGTGGCGGCAACATTGCCAAAAAAATTAGACGTCGATTATTTTTTGAATAAACCGTCAATCGTTTCGATAAATCGACAATTGAATCGAAATGCTAGGCTTTTTTTTCACCCGACGCGTAATACGTGAACCGACTGTTCGCCGCGACGCTCGCGACACATGTGTCTCCGGGGTCTCCGGCGTCCAAAGAAACGTCTGCTTAGACAGGCGAAACTGATTATGTCATCGCAGTCATTGCGATCGTCTGTCGTGCGAGAACTGGACCGCGCACGCACCTTCGTTTCTCTAACACAATGCTCAAGGAGGATGACACCGCTTCGAAACCAAGTACAAGGTTCTAGGTTAACCGGTATCCCTATTGTCTTCCAGTCTTATGTTATTACGAATCTTACTTACATTTTGAATTATCTGACTACAGTTTCGTACTGAGGAACGGTTAGACTCGTGATGTACAAATGAAGTTTGAAGTGAACAAATCCAATGAGGATTTTAAATTCATGGCACTGATGATGACACGTTAAAAGTAACCTGGTTGTCTTATCTTCGAGCGATGGTAGAAAATTGAGAATCCTTATCGTTAAATTTTTATCATTCAACAAGTTATTTATGTAGATAACGTGTACACGTATGCTTTGTATGTCTTGTGGAATTTCGCATAACGCAAGTCAAAGAACTGATGGTCGTCTAACGTCAAGTTAGGATAGGGAAGATTCACGTTAACGGATGTATGTATATGGGGTTAAGTTGTATTTCATGAAACGATTGTTAGATCCTTCTGGAGAAAGGATAATTACGGCACTTACCTTCGACTGCTACACTGGCGTATCTGCAATCCCTTCCCAAAGCATTCTCTAGGGAGACTGCGTATTTTCCAGCGTGATCGGCCGTTATGCTGTCTAAAGTTAGACAGGACACTCCTCCGCCGCTGGTTATTCCAATTTTGTCGTCGGCTGTCAACTCTCGGCCCTGAAACGCCGAACGGTTCTCCCTTTACTCAGGCACGATTCTACTAACACTGTTATTTTCTATATTCAAACTCAGTTTAACTGCACGATCAACCAATCGTATAATTGCATTTTGAAGATAAACAGAGTCGAAGAAATCAGACCCTAATGATTTCTGCTTCGGGCGATTTTGTGACGCTTTGGTTTGAATATCAACCGACGTAACGAGTGGCGCTGCACGACGGCAATAGACAATAACAGTGTTGGACCTATAGCGTTAACGAAACTAGACGTCTGGCTGGGGGCTGGACTGATTCTCGGTAACCGAAGACTTGTTATTGTTCGCAACACACCGAGCAACTTGGTAATTGCGTAAGATTTACTTTAAACAATAAGTGACACGGTGCATGGGCACGTTCGCGTAGCCTCCGCAAATTCCTGCAAGGTCGTTTCAGGGAATTTCTTCTTCGATCTCTTTGTATCCTGATCGTTCGAATTTATTCGTTTACAGAAAAATTCTAAGCGTGACCAAAAAGCGGAACATCACGGATTGTTCGAAACGACCATTCGACTGGCGTCTTGTTATTGGAAAAGTGAAAGAACGCAGTCTGGTGAACGAGGAGTTGGTTCGTTAACGTAAGTGGCGTGGATTGCCTTTACGAAAAAATAACGGTACACAATGGGAAGACTGTAGACTGTAGAATTTATATTGGTACGATTCGCCTCCAAAGATACTGTTGTCTTTCAATAATCATATTCTTAAAGCATTCCAGAAATAATTTGTGGATTTTCGTCGAATGAAAGTCAACGTTGAATTTACAAGTGTATCCATGAGTCGTTGTGCGTACCAAGGTCCAGCCATGTAAAAACTGTCGAAAATGATTTTTTTGGTATTAAAAAAAAAACTGTAAGGATACGGTACGTTAGGGTTACGTTATAGTATTAATATACATAATTCCAGGTCTGACTGTCCATTACTTTTAAACGATTAAATCGTCTGCTGCGTCAGTTGACGCAACCTTTCCTCAGTTTGTTATCAAACACGTGTTTGAGAAAATATTTTGTCTGGCCATTCCTTTGATTGCCACGTAGCCAGATCGCCAGGCTGTTTCATCTTGATCATAACAAGGGGAACAATGAATATTCAGCAGAAAAGCAACGGCATGGTTAACGTCATTACAATGTTGGCCACATCGAATTTATTTATAACAAGTATGCTGTTGCCCTACATATTTTATAATTCTAGAATTACATATATCAGAGCAAAATTGGTTCTCTACGTTGGCACAATTTTTATGTTAATCTCGACTACCGTAAGTCACTTCGTGTGGGTATCTACGACATGGTATTATTTATGTAGACGATATTTATCTCGGGGAAGGTGTCGGACGGGATTGCGTAACGACAATGCCAAAAGAAGCGAGAACAATACAAAGGTCAAAGAATCCTTCCAGCCGTGGGCGACGGTAATGAATGGTAGCCAGAAATGGTAGTCTGAATATTTCCTTGTAAGCGATTCGATATCCTCGTTTTCGGTATGTAAATATAGTAGTTTACGCCGTCGGACGTAATTTCGGTCGAGGAATGCGAGGAGAATCTTTGACTCTTTCAGAAGCGATCGTGCGCGAGCGAGCTGATCGGCGAAGCCGATCCTCGGAGCAGTGACTCATGGGAAATGGATGGATCCATTAGTCAGAAAATTGAATGGGTCGTGTGCCAGTGAATTGTGCAATGGAAAAATAGTGAGGCCTCTATGCGGTAGCAAACAGGGAGACCCTTTCATGAAGAAGAGTGACGTTACGTATGACGATTAATTTAATCATTAATGAGATTAATGAAATATACGAATAATATTTTCTTTCGTTTTTGTCAATCGTTTTGACGCAATCGAAAGAGAAAAAAATTCTACCAATTCGAATACGATAATAAAGTTGACATTGACGAAGAGAGTCCATTGTGACAGCGTCAATTGTTACTAATGACAATGAAGTTCTGAGAAAGTCAAGAGAGTCAAGCGTGACATATGTAATATTATATCGATCTTGAAGATCGATTAGAATAAGTCGAATAAACTTGTATATGAAAGATCGTTTGACTCTTACTAATTGACGACAATTGCGAACTCTTCCGAATCAAAGAGAAGCCATTAATTATCTTGGACGGTCGATGTACTAAATCGGTTGTATCGATCTGTCACTTTAATGGGCGATCGGTCGATCGATTTACTCAGATCGGTGATACCGATCGCAAGATCGATCGGAGCTCATACATTATGTACGTTTGTGGGTTTGAGTAAATTGGACTTGGAATTGCACTCGATCTATACGATCTATACGATCTATACGATCAGGGCACGTGATCTATCGCACAAAGGATAAATTCATCCATTTACGTCAGTAAGCGAATTCCAGTTCCTTTGTTCTCCCGTTTAAAGAGACACGCGCACGACTAGGTATAGCTCGTGTATAGAATCCAGTGGGATCGGTTATAAGGAGTAACCTTGTAAATCATCGTCACGACTGACAGATCAGTCTCAGGTATTCGAGGAGGTTTTTGAGCAACCTTCTCAAGAATGTCTGTCTGAAGGAGAGACAGGCGCATGAGAGTGTATATCGAAAAATCCGCCCACCTTTTCATATTCAAAATAGAGAAAGGATGACTTACCGCCCGAAGCCACCTGACCCTAGGCTCCGGATGACCTTTGTAAGTGGCTCGCAGGACAACCCGTGCTCCGCGCAAAGCAGTAATGTCGGCAGGTGCCTTCAGGACTTGAGCAGCTGCGAATTTTTCTAGACTTGGCCTCCTCACTTCAGCCAGCCTCTTTTTGATCTCTTCCGGTGGCGACGGAGATCTCTCCAAGGTCCTCAAGCATTTGATGGCTGGAGAATCATCTTGGCTGAGTTCGTTTCTCGATGATCTTGAGGTAGAGCTGGTCTTGGTGACGACTGAATTACTCTGGGATGATTTTCTACTCTTGGTCTGACTCTCTTCATTTTCCGATTCTTCAGGATTAGCGTCGCTGACTCTTCTACGAAGATTTTCTCTACTGCCCAGTTCGTTCTTGAACTTCTGCAGGACCTTCTGAACGTTGTCGTTGGCTGATGATAGAATGACTTCGATCGTGCAGCCGTTGACCTTGTCATCGGTAGTCACCAAGGATTGATCGTTTTTGACGTCAACGTCTCTTTCATTTCCGTCGAGCGACACGATTGATCTATCGGGTGAGAAGTGTTCCCTCATCTCCGGTACAATAACGTTAGGCAACTCGATAACTGGGACGCCAATCGTCCTTTCCGGAGATAAGATCCTCTGTGTGACCTCAATTTTCTTAACGAATTTCTTTGAGCTGGATTGATTGATCGTGTCGGCCTTTGCCTTTGCTCTCTCGCTGCTCGATTTCTTCACTCTTTCCGACAGCCGCAATTTTGCAAAGCGATTGCCCAAATCTCCGGGTTTCTCCAGCGAGTTTACGCGCCTCAGACTGGATGCTCTTGTATGGCGCTCCAAACACGGCGAGAGAGGAACGGCCGCGGCGGATTGCGGAATTCGAACTTTCGTCGAACCCTCTTTTCTCCTCAAGCTGCCATTTCTTGTGAAATTTAGTAAATTCTTTGTAGCGGGTTTGGTGGTTTCCGGGTCTGGCTTATTGCGTCGTTGCGTAATGGGACTTCGGCCTGCAAGACTTTTTGGAAGGGAACTCATGGGCTTGACAGAATATTCTTTCTTCGGTTGAAGACCTTCAGTCGATCCCTTGGCAGGACTGCCGCATCTACTTGGGATCCTTGAGAATTTCGATGGATCCTTTGAAACATTCAAGGTCGATGGCCGACCTTTCCCGGGCGTAGGAGATACGCTTTTGTTCGAGAAACTCTTTTTGTTATCTGATTCCGGAGAGAGCCGCACCATTTCCGCAATAGGGGAAGTCGACTCTTCCGAAGATGGCGATGATACGTTCGATGATCGGGAATCGATCCTGAGCTCCGCCGTGGAACTGACGATTGGTCCACGTCCACCAGCTGCGAAAGCTGTGCAACGGATCTCTCCGGAATCTCTGGAGGAGACTCCACGTATCCTCAGAATACTGGTGGTTCCATCTTTTTCAATCTACCAAGAGAAATTATCAGGTAACTTGATACACGCAGACAGGATTTCTATTATATTCCGTAAATAATAATAAATAAATATCAAGATACCTTGCATCTCGATATCATCTTGGCGTCCTTTCCGTTGATCGTCCATTTGAATTCCGCTGGTCTGCCACTCTGAACTCTCGCGCAGAAGCACGCAGTGCTGCCTTTCAACGCGATTACGGACACCGGTGTCTTTGTGAATTGAAGAGCCATTTTCGGCGCGCCTTTGTAATCTATGCAAAGGACACAGCGATCACGTATTTAAGCATTAGCTTCGCTTTATTAGGCGTCTCTAAGATAATTCCCAAGATTCCTCAGGCTTTCTAAAGACTGTCATACCTTGAACGGCGAACAGTCCTTTGCAAGAAGCCTTGCCAAATTTATTTCTCACGAGACACGTATACTCCCCGGCATCCTGGGGATAAACATCAGCCAACCTGAGAGCCATTCCGCCATCTCCATAGACAACGTAACGATAATAATCGCTATCAGGAACCTCCCGACCATCCCTCAGCCAGGTGATGGCGAACGGCGGAGTCCCTTGAATTATTAAGACCAAAAGATTGATCAGTGCCGTTATAAATTCTCATATTGCAAACAGTGCAAAATTATAAATAATTAAATACCGGCAAGTCTGACTTGAAGTTCATATGAGTGTCCTTCCATGACGATAGACTCGGAAGGAAGCTCCTCTAAAAATTGAGGAGGATCCCGATCGACCGTTGACGGATCATCAGGTTCAAGTACAACGACCTGTTTTACAAATTAATGATTAAATATAATTAAAATAAATTTTATAATTATCTATATACCACTTGTCAATGACAACTGACCTGGCAACTATTTGTGGTCGAACCAAGAACATTGGTGGCTTCGCAAGTGTACTCTCCAGCATCGGTATCCTTGACCTTAAGAATTTCGATTTTTGCAGTTCTGCCGTCAAAATATTTCTTGATCCTTTCCGAGCGCTCCAAAGGTTTTCCATTCCTGTACCAAGCCGGAGTGGGACTTGGCGTACCTCTGATATCGCACTGAAGTTGAAGCCGGCCATTGACCCTGGCTGCAGAACCCAGAAGACTCCTACCAAACGTTGGGTAAGTCCTGGGCGAGGCGCTTCTCGTTCTAATGCCACGAGTGACAGAGCCATGACGACCTTAAACAGGGAGCCCCGGGAGAATCAGATGGGAGTACTGGTTAATTAAAAATTGAGTAGACACAGCCGTTAATTGAATCCTCGTCCAATCACACGTCAAGTGGCCTTTTACGAGGAGCGATTAAACAGTAGCCATAAAAGCTTTCTCACATTAAGATATGGTAAGACGCACAGTGCGCACAAGTTATACTAGTGATAACTCTGCTTTTTCATCATCGACTGAAGTTGCATTCACAAGTTGCGACTAGTCGCTGTGGCGATAGAAATATTTCAGTGCTCGGCACCGACGGTACTACTTAAACACTATTCTCGTTGAATCACAATATTTAAAAAAAAACAAAACCTACCGATAATCTCAAGTCTGGCAGTGGCCTCTATTCTTCCCACATCGTTCTCCAGAGTGACCCTATACAGACCAGCATCCTCAGGCGTGACCTCAGCTATTTCCAACACCCGAATGTCGTCCCTTTCCTTTATGGATATCCTAGCACTAGGCGTAACGACAATTCCATTCTTATCCCACGTGACCCAAGGCGTCGGATGCCCAGCGACTGCACATTGGAATCGCACAGTTTCACCTTCTTCGGCGACGCGATTGTGCGGAACCGCGTAGAACTTTGGAGCCGTCACCTTCAGACGCTTCAGGCCGGAGCCTTGTAGCGGAGTCTTGAATTCACGTCCCTCTGAAAGAGGCATGAAAAATTAAAAAATTTTTCTTGAAATTTGGAAAAATCATTTTCTAAAAAATTTTTCAATAACAAAACTTACTGGCTACCGACGGCGAGAGACTCCTTATCGGAGTTGATCTAGGAGTCGATCTCGGCGTTGAACCTGCAGACAAAAGTCCTACGGGTCTGCTCAACTGTTGACTCAGCACGTTCTCCTTCTCTTCGGGCACTGTAAATATTAATGACAAAGATTATTATGAAATTCCAAGCAGGACTTGGCGTTTTCAATGCGAGAAGCTTTGAGCTTCGGACCCTCGAAGGCCATTCGCTGTTGACCGATCTGGTTTAGTCGATCGAACTCTGAGATCGCAGCGAAACTGGTCGAGTGGTTCAGGAGGCCGTGAGCTATTTACATTCCATCACGCTCCATTTGCATTTACACGCTTCCCGTTTACAGTCGCGTTACGTTACGCTCGTGCCTATGTAAACGATCGACGGCTGAACGAAACCGGCTGAAAGTTGCCAGAGTCGTGTTGACGTATGCGAGAACGGTCGAATAATTTTTCTTGTTTACCTCAACATTCTTTAAATTATCCAATAATCGGTATATATTTTTTAACATAAAAAATGGATACTCAAAAACGTCCCTCGTTAGCACGTATTACGCTAATTGATTACACGTATTAGCATATAGGACTTTCTTGTGATGTAAATCGCATCTATTTACCATCGACCACCAGACACGCCGAGGTGAAGGCCTTTCCAAGATCGTTATAGGCGACGCATGTGTATTCACCCTCGTCTTCGGGGTAAACGTGTTGAATACTCAACCGAGCAGTTTCTCCATCGAAATCGGTAGTAAAGTCGCCTCCCAGCGGTAGCAACTATAAATGAAATTGAATCGTTAAAAATTTTATTGATCCTTTACCGATCGGTAATAAGAACGGATCGCTCGATTCGTACCCTGCCACTTCGTTCCCAGCGAATATCCGGCACTGGCGTAGCGTGCACTTTACACTCCAGTGTTACAGCATCTCCGTCGCAGCATCTGAGATCTCGCAACTCTCGCTTGATGATCGGTAAGGTCAGGACCTTTCTATAGGACCAAAAGAAAGATCGGTAACGTTGATTAGTAACGAGCCAAGTCAAACCGGATAGACCGAATATGATCTTTTAAAACGAAATACCAACCCATGCTTCACAGAGGTCTGCTCCATGCTGTCCTCTTTTCCCTGACCTGAAACAGAGGACGAAGTTGACGTTCGGGTTCGACAGTCTCTCACGATTGGCTATAGGGGCGACACGGAACGCCCATTCGCGGAGCGATCCATAGATCAGCACGCTCCAAGGTAAGTGCATGGGACGGTAATAAAAGTCAGTCCAAGTCTGTTCCAACTATCGCCTGACATATTGATCACGATCACTAATAGTCATTACATTCGGAACACGGGGACGAAGAAATCGAACGGAGGAAACCCGCGAGCGATCGCGTGGCAGCGACTTCAGAGGATCGTTAAGCTATCTCCACCGAGGAAGGTCGAAGGAAATTGCATAATTGGCCAAATTAGCCCAACCATTAATTTTATTAATCCTGAACTTGTCCACTTCCGGGTTTTGACAAATCCTCCGACAAACCAATTAATACAGGGATAAACGCCCATACGTCCCGATCGGTTCAGCGAAGTTGAGTCTATGAGCAAGCGACGTAACCTGCGGATCGATCGGTACTGGTAAGGAGGCTGGGACAAAATTGGATCTGGAGTATCCGTTCAGGTGTTCGCATTGCTCCGGGGATTCTCCATATGCGGACACCAAGTGGAAAATGTGAATAGCTACGTAAACCATATCCGCGTTTGCGCGAACGCTACCATATTGGCACAGTCTGATTCTAATGGACGCAGCGATGACGCTCGTCGCCATGGGACCCCCGGATGTTCAGTCTCGATGGATGAATTTAAATCGAGAGGATCAAGGAACCAATCCGTATTGAGACGTCGCCATAGTCGGAGGATCAATATCGATCTTGGCTTGTCAGTGATTAAAAGGCGTATTTCGCCAGGAGGTCGCGTGGCTGCTGCGCGCGTGAGCTGCATCGGGAATGCCAATCGTCTACCCGTAGGCGATGACTAATCGATCCTCACCAATTGATTCGTTCTCCTGCGACTCTACTGACTCTCCAGGTTCCTACGGAGTCTCGACTGGCTTTTCATTTATTTATTTTTATCGATCCTACCGGTATCGGTCCCTCGGGTAAAATCTTCGACCGGAAAAGGGTATCCCTCGATGGATGTCATTCAAAGGGGACTCGGTCGCTGTACTGGCGCACTTTGCTCGCAAGCAGATTGGACGGTGGGTAAACGGAGAGAAGAAAAATGATCGGACGATCCTACCGAGAATTCTAGGCAAATAATCTGTACAAGGCCTAATGGCAGCTGCAATTTGCATAATAGGGCAAAACGTCTGGGAGCGGTGGTCAATTATCAGTGTGGCACGTTCATTATCCTTCGGGCTGCGTAGATCGATCCCGCCGTGGATCACTTTACGATCGTAGGTGATCGCCATGGGAGATAATCGCTTCTGTTCAGAATGTCCGACACAAACGAACCGCCTACGCGGCTCTCGTTAAAGCGAGAGTGACGTCCTTACTGCGCTCTTATTCGTTCTACGTATCGATCATCTGTTATCTATCGATCGATCCATCGATCCGAACCCGCGTACTCTTTGCTACTTGGCTACTTGGCTTTTATCCTTTTGTCCTCTTACGAGCCTCTTCATACGAGACTCCTTTACCTTTCGCGTAGATCTGCAGGGAAATTATGGCCTTTGTCTCCCCATGGCAATTCCTTGCGATTACGGAATACGTTCCTGTGAAGTCGAGCTTCGCGTATGGGATTTCCAATCGGTACTGAGGTCCCGCGCCGATTCTACGAAAATGCGGAGCGTCCCTGTAGTAATCGGGCTGAAACAGAGAACATTTTTTATCAGAGAGTGATCTGGGTGAGATATTGAAAAAATTAAGATTTCATTGTAGGAGTTTGAAAAATTTTTTTTTTTTTCAAAATTTCAATATCGCTACACGAATATAGGCCTTTTAATGCTTAGGTCGCGTGCTGTGGCCGATCAAGTCATTTTGGTCCATTATCTATCGCGAAGATCCTGTTTCCGCCAACGTTGACGTAACGCGAGACAGACTCTTGCAATTGCTGATCGCTGAAAGTCGAGTGGTAAATAGAGGCGGCTTCTTTCGTAAAAAAGAGCTCGAATGGTGCCTCCATGTTTTTTTCGGTTTATTTCTATCCCCGCGCATCTCGGACGCAGTTGGGATCGTATGACCGAAACCCAGATAGAATCCGGATGCCGCGATGATTCTTCTGGCGCTTCGATCAAAACTCGGTCCATATAGGGAGGAAATTTTGTCAGCTCTATAAATAGCTTTTCGGACGTGAGTTCCATGCCAATTAAACTTATGGTCATCGGATCGACCATCTTCCTCAGGATCGCAGCATCTTCGGGTCAGGACCCAACGTTGATCAACCATTTGGATCGGTCATTATGAATTTTCCAAAATTTTGAAAAAAATTATATATATACAGTTTCCAATTATTTTTAAGGATTTCCAATGTCTACGCTTATGGAATCGTATTTGGCTCTAAAATTTCTTAACCCGTCATCACGTAACGGGTAGAGAATTTCACGCGCAACTCTTCACCTTTTTTTATTCAATTTTCGTTTTTTTTCTTCTTTCGCGTTTTCGGTGATCGTACGGTGCTCCTGTGTGCGTAGTGCGTACCCCTAGGCCGATAGTGCCGGGATAAGATGCCTTCTCCATGATCTCGCCCATATACGGAGCGAAAGTTGACCATATTGGTTTGGTTGGCCTGTCCGCTATGGCCGCCGTGTGTATCGCTATTTTTCCTCGTAACGTCGATCGCCAGAGAGGCCTTTCTTTCTATTATTCCCGAATGGCAAATGGCTACCCTAATGATGTCAAGGTGTAGCCGGGCGCTGGTCTTGGTCCCGTGTAGCTTTAGCTGGGGCATGTGCGAAACCGTCAGGAACGGTGAGTGTTCGGTTCCAGCGAGACATCGACGTACGTCCATATATCTATAGATTGTACACAACTTGACCGGAACCAAGATTGAGGACATTGGTTTGACAGTCTCGTTCGGTAATGACGGCTGGAACTTTTGTTCTCTTATTTTTCTTTGACCGTCCGACGGGAACTTAAAATCTCGTCCGAAGACTCCAGTGCGCGACTTCACGTTGGATTACGTGTAAACGGCCGGGAATAGTTGTTTGCAATCTTGCAAATTTTAACCTCCCGTTACGGAGCGTGTAATGATCATGTTCCACTTGTAATTAAAGCTACCGCCGGTTTTTATGGTCTTATTTTTTTTTTTATGGGCTACCCATCGACGTCAAATGGAGACGCCTTTGCGATTTACGACACTGAATCTTTACCGTGTACGAAGAAAAGGAGTAAAACTAAATTCTTGTCTCTGTTTTACGTGCTTGATTAGTGGCTGTTATGTCGACTTTTAAGCACCCGGCGCTACGGCGTCGGGACGCCCAGGGTGACTTCGGGCAAGGTCCTCCGGCTACTTCGGTCTGACCGTAGACTGCCTGCATGACTTTGGCACACTTGGATTTTTCTTCGTTAATACTATTTTTAGTATTGCCATTAACATTGATAAGGGCTATTTTTATCTTTTTTTAACGTCTTTTAATAAGTTTATGCATCAACGTTTTTTTCAGGTATGATCAACAAAGTATCTGTTGCATACCAAAAAGTGTTTGCGAACTCGGAGACTCTTGTCAGGAAAAAAAATTGACGTGAAGTATCGCACTTGAATTTTTTAGTTGTTTGAGGTAAAAAAAAAAACGTCATCTTGAAATGTCCAGTGGTTTGTCAATAGTACGTCTATCAAAAAAGTATAGACGATAGCACTGCCTCGATGGTATTTTAATACTGTCCCGTGGCAGTCTCTCCATTTCTGACTTCTGAATATCCGCAGTCTCCTTTCTCTGTACAGTTGCGTCCCGGCCGTCGGGACGCGTCGCGGCAAGCTGAAAAAATGTATACCGAATGGCTAAACAACCGGACCGTTGGATCCCCGTCGAGAACAGTGCAGAACAACAGTCAATAATTACGCAAGTGCATTGGCTCGTACTGAAAAAATGTCTGACAATGAAATAAAAATTTAAATCGCACAGCTGAATTTCACATATTCTCGAAAAATAATAAAGAGACTTATTCACACGAAATTTCGTATGCATATCACAATTTTGACGAATACACGGAAAAAGTTGAGAATATTTTTTTTTATTTGAATAAGGGGTCGAACAAAAATATTACGAATAACCTGATCTTCTCACGTGTACGACCTTCGTTACGTGATTGGAAAGACGTTCGGAAAACGTTACTGGATGTTGATCCTTCTTCAAAAAAATTCTACGTACAGCCACATCACAGAATTTACAATCAGAGAAACGTACGGGTAGGTCACGATTCCTGGAGATTGAAACAGAAAGGTACAGGCCTACGACTCTATCGACAAAACGAAGTCAAAGTGGCTTAGCTATCGATGAATTTATTACCCAACGCGTCTTGCCGAAGAATAAACATTCCTTTTATGGGAGAGTCTGGCTCCAGCCTCGTTTTACGCCGTCACGCTACCAAATAATAATCCTCTTTGCTGGCCGTACAGATAACAGCATTATAAGACACCTCGAAGAACTCTTTCTTAAGATCCGGCAGGTGATCGATCGATTTCGAATGTTCATTTTCATTTTTTATATCTCTTTCGCACCCTACTTCCCGTGCATCTGAACGATTCGAAACATTTCAGCATGCTGTGACGCAGCATGTGGTTCAGCCCCTGAACGCCGTCCGCCCCCCCTGGGGGGCAGTCCTGAGGTCACCGTAAGGACTCGCCAGACACTTTCTTCGACGGGAAAATAAAATGGGAGTAAGGAATCCTAATAAAGATACAAGAAAACACTTGGCGCAACTGGTCCAGCTACTGAGGAGTAAATGTAACGACCTCACGCAGTGTTTTGATTCAGATGTATATATCACTCCCACGCAGCAACGTCGTACGGAACGAGATACTCGCGACAGATCTTAATGAGAAGGATATTAAAAGACGAGCTCACTAAAGATCTAGTTGATATTATTAATTATAATGGATAAGCGAGGATCAAATGGAACGATCGTATTTGCTTTCGACTTTCTCGGCTGAAACAGAGCACTTCTTTTATTTTGTTTTTTTGATTATCCCGATAACGAGTGCTCGTTACGAAATGAGACTGTTTGAAAATTAACGGTTTTCTCGATCACTGAAAACTGTCTGGATTCGGTAAGCATAGGACGGCTATTCGGAGGTTAACATATTCGCACGGCATGAGTCAGAAGCAACAAACCCGATACGGCACGCGATAAGTCGTTTGAGCGAGTTTTCGCCGCTAATGTCAGTTCTCTCGTTTTCTCGTTGGCTGAAAACGTTGCGCCGGCCAACTTCCTTTTTTACCTGGATCGTGCACGCGTCTCGACTGCAGAGTCTATCTGTCGCCAAATACGTACTGTCAATGTATCCGTTTTGCTATAAGTCGGGTCTTTGCTTCAAATTAGGGTTAGACTGTCACGCACTCATCTGGGGACATGGAATACGATTTGAAAATGTCACGTGACTGAGTTTCGTATTGGATTTATGAAATGTGAGACGTGGGATATTCATAAGGGAATGAATTAGCAAAGGTAAATAAAAACTTACGAAATGTCTCTGGCAAGTTGGAAAATTCTTGGGTAATTTTCTCTTCTGCTGTCTTTATCTCGAGGGCCTTTTCAATAGACAAATCCTTTTTGTAAATACGTAATTTCCCTAGTTTCTCCGTCCTCGCGATACGAAGCTGTTACCGCGATTCACATTCACTGGAAGGATACCGGGAGCTTGAAAATTCGAAGCGTAAATTCGTTACGCTTAAGCAATTGTCAAAGTGAAATATTAGAGGTTTCTTAAAAATTGAATAATCCCCGTGTAATTATTGTCGCGATAATACAAACAGAATCGAATAATTGGAGTGCGAGGGAACGCCCGAGCGTAGATGCCACGCATCGCACGACCGCCGACTGTTTTGCTGCACAGCGTTCGACCGATTCCTCGACGATCCCTTGCCGACCCCCCGATGAACGAAGCAGCGCGCACCAGGGCACGAGGGAACTACGAGAGGACGCACTCCGTACACAACGTGCGACGGAGCTTCAGCCTAACTGAGAGAGACCGAGTGATACAGTGGGAGAAGTGGGGAGGGTCTTTGGCGTCGCAACGAGAACTTTTTGACAAGGAGTGTACACACGCCGTCGACATAGTCGAATCGAACGACGTCCGAGACTGAAAAGCACATCCGCGTGCTTTCCTTTCTTTCACGGGCGTGTGCACGAAAATAATCAATCCTACGGCGATCACTGACGCAAAGTGATACGTGATTCGAATAGGTAGCTCAACACGAGTGCGTAACAATGACCGATTAGTCTGACGGCTCCTGGAAAATTCGAGAATGGAATGAACGATCCGCCATGACACTTGAAATGTCAATTAGCCATTCTGCCATTTGATGCATTATCGACGACCTATTCGTTCGAAAGTCACGGATTTCATCCGTGATTCCTACGTTGACTGAAGAATCGTACAGGTAAGAATCGGAAACACGTGTCTGCCACGTGGTTCCCCACTTTACATTTACCCAACGACTTCGTATTGTCGTCTGGACTCAGAGTGCCGCCCGCGCCGATGAAAATCTGAAAATGGACGACCGAGTCCCCAGTTCTCGGTATCGCGCTTTCGTAAGGCGCCTTTCGAAATGACCATTTTCGTTGGTGGAACTCGAGTCGGGATTCTCGTACGGTTCGCGGTCGTTTGGTATGTATCTTATCTGGTAGTAACCAACCCGTGCATCCTGTCCTGGGAGAACCTTTTAAAGCAGCCAACACACCGCCATCATTTCTCCCACATAATGCTTGCCCAAATACGGGCATAATGTATGTCATTTCTTTTCACGATACCTTGACCCACATGCGGCCACGCTAGGGACACGTCATTTTGCAGGAGATTATGTCATTTGGATGGACGATCGGACGATGCGCCGATCCTATTCAACCTTTTCAACTTCCTTGACCTACGACCCTCCGAGACATTCGATAAAGTCTCCTTACCTATTCAGGAGTTTTTTTTTATAATTACTATCTCATTCTTGCCAAGTGACCATTCGCGCGTGCAAGACGACTATTGCGATTTCTCTGCAGTATGCCAATTTTTTTCTCTATTTTCATCTCCGCATACATTTTTTTTTTACCTACAATTTCTGCGACACGTTACGCTTGATATGGACAGGACTTCTATATGACCGTATAAGAGGCCAGCGTATGAATTTACTCAGGCGATTCATCAGGACATTTTATTCGATTTTTTTCTGCAGTGCGAAAAAAGTTTCAATTTTCGTCCCATCAAATTATTTAAGTGGCGCCTTCGATTCTCTCCGGTTGCACAATTTTATTAAGAAACGTTGACCTCTGACCTCGCCTCTACCCTCTCACCTCCCCCGTTCCTACCAATGGCACCGTATGCTTTTTCTCATCTTTTATTTGGCGCACACGTACTCGCGCACGTACGCGCGCAGAACACCATACGTGAACGCCATTTAAATGAATATTGCGAAATCTCATTCGAACACGCGTTAATTCTTATTACACAGTTTAACATGGCTAATACGATGTTCCAAGGCCGACCCTGCAAATAGACACGCCACTGCGAGTTTACAATGGTCGGCAAAATTGCCACGCGAAAGATGAACAAAATCAATTTGCACAAGTTTTCTCTGGTAGTTCAACACCAATTTCTTTTCTAGAGATCACACGGCACACGCAACAGGATATGCGTACGGTGACTCGTATACCGAATCATTTGTCATGTCCCTTTTATCCGACTGGGATCATTCTTGTGCCAAAGCAGCAAAACACATTTCTCAGCTATCTCAGTTCTGCTTTATTTTTTACATTTGATCTTCACTTCCCCTCTTCGCTCTTCACAACTTTCTATTCCTCTAATCGCTTTGCTCTTCACAAGCGCAGACCTGCCATATGCTTCCCTGCAAATTTTCATGAGGTCAGGGCCGACGGATAGGGCGAAGAGAATCAATCAAATTTAAATCTCTTTCAGATTCATATCTTTTTTGGGTAATCCGGCCGCCATGACAGTTCGCGACCTGAGTCGATTTTTAAAATGCAAAATAATGGCGCGGCTATAAAAAACAAAAATGATCGAGGACCTCAAAATTCATATAGTAAAAATTTATACCATTTGCAAAATATTTGGCACAACCAGATACCACAGTGCCAATAAAAATATCTACGAGAATCGATCCGTCATAGCCCGAAGGTTTTCACGTCTCTCATTCGGAACGATGTCGAAGATAATATTTAGTCAGGTCGAATTAATCGAACGTAAAAGTAGATTACGTATCGATGAGTGATTAAGCAAGAACACTGGTAGTCAAATTTGTTGCGTGTACAGTCAGATCACTCGATGGTCCAGCCGATCCACAGAGATTGGTGAAATCTGGGACAGGCCTAGTGTTCTGCGTTGTCTTGTCTTACAGATATTTACCACCAGCCGCAGGACCTTGCTCAATTACTTTTTATATCCCGCAGAAACGTTAACACTGAAAACGGGACTTACCCTGAGGAAATCTCGAAGCCAGACGACCTCAGGTTTCGGGTCGCCGACGACCTCGCACAGGATGATTACCGTGTCGCCTTCGATGGCTTCGGTAGATAAGGGCTTCGTTACGAAAAGCGGTTCCTTTGAGTATCTACGAATGACAATTTTTTTTTTTTCAAAATCAGTTCATTTTTTTCACTTTACACATTTAAGGCCTGACGCGGCAAATACTTGAGGTCGCAAATAATCAACTTTAACGTCCACTCACGGTATGTCCGGAGCGATAACTTGAGGCAAGGCGGCTACTCCGCGAACCTCCTCGAAAGTTCCTAGAACCATGACCTTCGTAGAGGTTTCAGTTCTGCCGACCTCATTGGTCGCTGTGCAGCTGTAGACCCCAGCGTCTCTTGGAGTCACGTTGGCCAATGACAGTTCCACTGTTCCGTCGTGATTCAGAGTCATGACTGCGCGTCTGCTTGGACGAAGCCGGATGCCGTCTCTGTGCCTGGTCCAAGACAATAGTTAATACTGGCATTTGGCGATTAGCGCCATATTAGGAAATTCACGATTTGGCACGGTTCGCTCTTTTTGACTTTGGCAGTCAGACTTACCAGACCACCCCGACTGTGGGATAGGCCTCGACCTGCGCCGTCATGCGAAGTTCTCCGTTTACTTTTACGGAATAGACGGCGTCCAGTCCGCAGAGGAACTCGGGAGCGATGTAAGCTCGGATCCCTTTGTCCACGACCAGGATGCAGCGGCAGGAGACAGATCCGTTTGTGTTCCTGGCAGTGGCCATGTAGCATCCCGAGTCCTCCAGAGTGGAATGCGTTATCTCGAGTGTGTGGAACTGGGACTCGTCGTCCCAGAACACGTGGGAGGCTGAGGTGAGACGGGTGAAGATTTAAAAATTTTTCTTTTTTACAAAAAATTATGTATATCCTTGGCTTACCATCCTGACGAATTTCTTTGCCATTCTTGTACCAGGTCACTTCCGGTGTGGGATGACCTACCACCTGACAGGTCAGTCTCACTGGGTACGTCATCTGAACTCTTCTGTCTCTCAGTCTCATGGTGAACTGCGGTGGCTTCTCCTTGGTGACCCCGTCCATCGCTCTTTAAGGTATCGATTTGTTATTAATGAAAAAAGTGCTTTGATGATTTTCTTTGAATTTGAAAAATTAATTCTCACTCTTTTAACTTAGCGTCAGCCTCGAAAATCTTTGGATCGGTCACCACGAGGACTCTTGCGAAGGTCGAGACTCTGCCGACCTTGTTGGTAGCCTCGCATGTGTATCTGCCGGAATCATCCTCAGTGATGCTGCCTATGCTGAGGCTGCACTTGAATCCATTGTAGTAGATCGTATATCGAGGATCCACATCGGGACCGATCTCAGTCGAATCGCGATACCAGCGGATGTTGATTTTCGAATCGCCACGTACCTGATTGTTGAATTGTTCAACATTTACTTGGGTATCATAGGATTGGGTTTTTGGATTTGAAGATGGGAGATATGCTTCTTCAACAATTGGTCTACCTCGCATTCCAGCTGCACGGTGGATCCTTGAAGAGCCTTCAACTGTCCCGGAAGTATCCTGCTGAATTCCGGCAACTCAACTGTTTCACCAACTGTCACGGAACTGGTCGAGGTCACCGATTCACCCCATCCGTAACGATTGCGCGGTGTCACACGGAATTTGTATTCTCCACCGGGACGAAGGTTGAAAGCATCAAACGTGTTGATTGGAGTAACGCCAAGCTGTTAAAGAGGACAGTTAATAAGTGTAGAGGTAATAAGATGTCACGGAGACAGACGCGAGTCTCTCGCCTGGGCGCGAGAGAGATAAAAAAGTCTTCCTTCGTGAAACAGGGTTACGAGCTGCTGTCGCGAGGTACATTCGCGCGAATAATTTTGGCCCAGGTTATTTCGGATTATTTTCAAAAGATTTTGCAATCGCGAAATCTCGTATTAGTCGGCTACTGCATAATGTAATAGGACGTGCGATAAGAGAGGGTGCATCGTATCAGACCTCGGCCCATCTTGCTCCGCCATCACCCCCTAGTTGCCATGCATCCACCCTGTAAGCTATCACGGGTGCTGGTCCTCTTTGTTCCGCTTTGCCCCAAGTTAGGGCCAACCAGTTTCTACCACTGTCAACGACCACAGGCTCGCTGCTGATCGGTCCTGGAACGTCTGGAACAAACGATGACACTCCTTAACTTATATTTAAAACCACGAAGAGAACGTCGAACGTTATTCCGGAATTTACGAAATTCCCTGGCACATTTAACATACGTTAAATTCTCTATGACCTAAATCTTTAGGATTACAGCACAGTGTAAATAAACACGCGAATTCCTACACTCTAGAAATTCCTCATAACATTCCACATCGTGTGGATCGTTATCACTGAATTTTTTTTTTTTTCGAACCTTGATAACCCGTGAGATATTCCAAAAATTCGGAAATCAAGGAATCCCTTGCTGCCCAGGAACGTCTCAGTCGCTGCAAGGCCAGTTGCTCGATATCTTCATTTAAATTATCTTCTATCCCGTGATCGTCCATGGCATCGACTCGCATTTCGGGAAAATTTTTCAAAAATATTTTTTCTCGATCAAAACAGTACCTCCTTCAAATGAAAATGCCCAAATCGACAAAACGTCTATTAAATGATAATTGGACTGTTACACGTGGTCGAAGTAAGCATGATCGCGCGAGGAGGTGTATTCAGGTTTTTCCTGAGGAAAAGAAAGCTGACGAGGCGACGTGCGTCCCGACGCGAACTGAATTTCAGTTTTTCGGGAGAGCCGAACGAAAATAGCCGACGTCGTTCGCTAAGGGGTTCATTCTCGTATTAAGCAACGTAGGCGTCCGCCGTCGCAGGGCGTCGTTACCTCCCAAAGACTCATTATTGGCTCAGCATTGAATACCTGTGAGAATCACATAAATTTCTCAACCAAATAACCTAATCCCTTCGACAGTCCCAGTCGAATCATCACCAGATGACTTTAAGTCGTCTTTGTCAACCAATGTGACTTCAACTTTACGAGACCTATCAAAAGTCATTTGCTAGAAGTTCATCGCGATGATGCTGAGGATCATTTTGTTCCTGGGGTCATTCCAGTCGTTCGGACCTTTCCCATTGCCTTGTGCCACGTGAGAGCAATTATCTTCTAGCTCTCTTACCTTATGGCTTATGGGCTTATGGCTTATGGTACTTTCCAATGACATATAAACGAACGAAGGCCGCACATAGTCAACTTGGTCTATGTAACCAGCTACATGACCATTTAGCTTTTTCAGTCTATAATCTTTGTGTATGGAAGTTTTATCGACTCGACTCGAGGTTTCGCATGGCAGTATGGAAGTCCATCTTATTATAGATCTCGGCCATTAATAATTCTGTGATTCAGCCGCAATTCGTAACGTGGGTGACTCGTATACGAATCTTTCGGACGGACCAGCACGTTAGGTTAGGTCGTACAACTTTTTTGTTTACGTAATCCCGAAAACGAGGCTCACGCGCCAGGTACCTAAGAGCAGACTAGTTACGGCACTGGGACCTGGGTGAATTTTTATGAAAAATTGAAGAAAAAAAACAAACCGTCCAATGATCTCGCTCGTGACGTCATTGGGTCTCGTACTACAGAGCGTCGAGTGTCGCTTTATAATTAAAATGTGGGCTGGCTTGGTCAAGGAACCGTGACAGTTGGCGAGGCGCCAGAATTCGCGCAACTGGTACGAGAACTTGAGGGAACCAAAGTCACGAAAGAGAAAAAAAATTTTTAAGGATACATAAAAAAAAATATGGAAAAACGTGAAACAGAAGCGAATTGAAAAAAAAGTGCGTGAAACGTCCTCGGATAATTTTCGCGATTATACAACATGCTATTTATGGCCTGAAAAGTGGTATAACCTGCGAAACCATTCGAGTCGCCGTTTAATCGTTTCGACGTGACCTTCTCGTTAGAGATCGCCGAGCCCATTAACTCTCCCGTTAATTAGCTGGAAAGGCAGGAGCGACCAATCACCGCAGTCTAGTATTCGCACGTCAATTATCCTAGCACATGTGAGTCACACGCGAAATTATCCCATGATCGGCGAATGCTACCTGAGTGGTAAACCTGTCAAACGTCAATTATTCGCAATTGGTAGTTGGGCATTTTTTATTAACTATTTCAAGTATCACTCGACGATTCCCACTATTCTCATCGCAATGTAAATCTATACTGACAGATAGCCAGTTGTTTTTTTCAGCATATGATTCAGTTGGGACAGGTAGGCAGCTGTTGAATTCAGATAGAAGAGTCTCTTCAATTTTTCAACCTGCGCTAAGGCATTCGAGTGTTACGGTTGAAAATTAAAAATTGTTTTCCTCATGATTCGCCATACTTCACATTCAATTGTTAAATTATTATAAGTTATCTCACAGTAAGACTCACTCTTTATGTATGACCTTTCGCCGTCGTGTATATCAGCAAGGAGGTTATCGGTGTCCATGGTACCCCAGTCGGGGGACGGTGTCAACGATCTTGCTCGCTGTTTCACCTGTTGATATTCTCGTGATTACAGATATCTATTGATTGGTACTAATGACTTGGACATTGAAATTACGAACCTTGACTGTGACGAAAGTCCGATCGCAGCCGTAGCAATTTTTTGCAAGTATGCAGTAAGTCCCTTCGTCAGAGGCCAAGGCCCTCTTAAGGCTGAATCGTACGTAATCGTCGATGACTTCCTTGTGGGAGCGTTGACTGTTAGTGATGTCCCGAATTCCTTTCATCCATGTAACTGTAATGCCAACAGTACATTAGCAGTCGATAAAACGGAGGGACAGGTAGAAATCGATTGAATGATTAATCATTGTGGTAAGTGAGTCTACCTCTAGGCTTCGGACTACCAGTCACTCTGAATGATATTGTAATGTCTTCGCCAACGGCGACTGTCATCAGATTATCTGGTCGCGACATAAACATGGCTGGTTTTCCACCGGGAATTGAACTCGGCGCCACGACCTGTACGATGGCGCTAGTGTCTACGTGTCCATATGCATTGCTTGCTCTGCAAATGTAGGTGTCGGTTTCCATTTCTGTAACTTCCGGTACCATCAGCGTGTACACTCCAGATTCGGCGAACGTTCTTGCTTTGGGAGTTGATATTGGCTCTCTCTTAGTTCCACGGAGCCAGGTCACTTCCGGTGCTGGCATGCCTATTCGGGTTGAAGAAATTTTGGGGTCGGTTCTTTTTGGGAGGAAATATATATTTTTTTAATACCTTTGACCTCCACCTGGAGCGCAATTGTTCCTCCGGCAGGGACGCTGTGATCCGTCAGAATGTTTGAGAAATGAGGTCTCCTTACGTCTCTGCTGATTCTGCTTTGAGAAACTTTGTCTCGTCTACTGGCTGCGTATTGATCGCGTCCTGGGCAATCAGGTGGTAACGGTTAATAACCGGTCTTGTTGGTTTTCAAATGGGGTAGTGTGGTGCTAGGGGGGAAATAGGATATAGTCACCTTCGAAGTGGACCATGTGAGAAATCTGGTCGCACCAGACTTGATTCTCTGCTTTGCAAGTGTAGTGGCCACTGTCGGCTGCTGTCGGATCAGAAATCTGCAGGCGACAGACGCCGTCGCTGAGGTCGCTTTGTTGGAAACGGTTACCTATCAGAGCTTCGCCATCCTTCAGCCAGGATATTGTGGGTGTCGGTTGGCCACGAACTCGGCATTCGAGGACCAGCTCGTTATCCGAAAATCGGTAGGTATCTGTAGATGTGTTAGATGATTGAGAGTGGATGGAAATTAAAGGAAGAGCGGATTTTTATTTTGTGTAATTACCTTTCATGGATCTGGTGAAAGTTGGAGGCAATGGCGCTGGTTCGAAACCCTCGAAGACCTTCAGTTTGGCTTCGGTCACTGATTGCCCATGAACGTTCTTGGCCACGCATGTGTAACTTCCGGAATCTTCTGGCAAAGCCGCGTAAAATTCGAGACATGCCATTCCGTTTTCGAGGTTCGTGCGATACCGATTACTTGGACCGAGATGGAGGCCGTCCTTTAACCAGGACACTTGGGGTTCCGGAGATCCAAGGATTGCACAGGTCAACTTTATTCGCGACCCTTCTGCCGCTGTTCTGTCAGTCAGTTTTGTGCAGAAAATCGGTTTGTTCCTTTGATCTCTTGGGCCGCACTGAAAGATTGAAGATGTTGTTAAGACGCTATTAGTTTAAAGGTATTTATAAATTTTGGGATTGGTTTTGGGAGTACCTCGACAGTTGAACTTTTGCTGGTAGCAGAGTAATATGGAGTAGAGTCATCGGTCAAATGACTTCTTGCTCTTGTTCTTGGCCTTGATACCGTAAGAGTATCACTTCCGGTTGAATCGTCGAATCTTACCGGAACTTCCCTTATTCTGGCTTGAGTGTCGTAGCTTTTCGCTCTGCGTGAAGATCTGTCCAGCCTGTCGACTTCTACAACTGCGTGCTCCTTGGGTCTTCTTCTGGGTTCAGTTAGCGTTTTGTCTTCACTGAGGGTTTCCGATATCTCAGAAATTGTGGAAGAGACTGACACTTCCGTTTCCGGACGTGATGTCGCTCGTTCCTTCTTTTCTTTTTTCGAAACATCTTCAGGCTTATCTTTGGACGCTTCTTCTTGCGCTGATTTTTTGCTCTTAAGAGATGCTCTCCTCTCCGAATCCTTTTCAGCAGTTTTTGCTTTCTTTGACGAGTCCTTTTTCCTCTCCTCTTCTCTTTTCTTTTTCTTTTCTTCCTCTTGCTTACGAAGTTTTTCGGCTTCTTCCTTTTGCTTCTTTTCCTCATCCTCCTTACGTTTGCGCTCCGCTTCTTCTTTCTTCTTCTTTTCCTTCTTTAGACGTTCCTCCTCCTCCTGCTTCTTTAGATTTTCAGATTCCTTCTCTTTCAGACGTTTTTCTTCTTCTTTCTTTTTCAATTGTTCGGCTTCTTTCTTAAGACGCTCGTCCTCTTTCCTTTTTCGTTCAGCTTCTTCTTTCTTCAATCGTTCCGCTTCTTCCAATTTGATACGCTCCTCTTTCTCTTTCTTCGAACGTTCTTCTTCTTCTTTCTTAAGACGTTCTGCCTCTTCCTCTTTTCTTAATCGCTCAGCTTCTTTTTTCTCAGCTTCTTCTCTCTTCAATCTCTGTTCTTCAAGTCGTGCCTCTTCTTCCTTTTTCAGACGTGCTTCTTCTTCTTTTTTCTTTAACATTTCAGCCTCTTCGTTCTTAAGTCGTTCTTCCTCCTCTTTCTTCAATCTTTCTGACTCTTCACTTTTCAAACGGTCCTCCTCTTCCCTCTTTAATCTATCAGCTTTTTCTTTCTTCAGCTTGTCTTCCTTTTCTTTCTTTGCTCGTTCAGCCTCTTCCTTCTTCTTTTTTTCCTTTTTCTCTTTCTTTAAGCGATCGGCTTCTTCTTGCTTTAACTTATCAGCCTTTTCTTTCTTTAGCCTTCCTTCTTCTTCTTTCCTTAGGCGTTCCTCTTCCTCCATCTTGAGACGCTCCTCTTCTTGTTTTTTTAGACGATCGGCTTCTTCTTTCTTAAGACGCTCCTCTTGTTCTTTCCTCAGACGTTCTTCTTCTTCTTTCTTTACGCGTTCCTCTTCTTCTTTCTTAAGATGCTCCGCATTTTCTTTTTTCAAACGATCTTCTTCTTTCTTTATGCGTTCCTCTTCTTCTTTTTTCAGAAGATCTTCTTCTTTCTTTACGCGTTCCTCTTCTTCTTTCCTAAGGAGCTCCTCTTTCTCTTTCTTGACACGATCTTCTTCTTCCTTCAGACGCTCTTCTTTTTCTTTCTTTAGACGTTCCTCTTTTTCCTTCTTTGCGCGTTGTTCTTCTTTCTTAAGACGCTCCTCTTCTTCTTTTTTTAGGCGATCTTCTTCCTTTAGGCGTTCCTCTTCTTCTTTCTGTACGCGTTTTTCTTTTTCTTTCTTTAGGCGTTCTTGTTCTTTCTTCTGCCGCTCTTCTTCTTCTAGCTTGAGACGGGCTTCTTCTTCTTTCTTTATACGCTTCTCTTCCTCTTGCTTCAAACGTTCTTGTTCTTTCTTTTCCCACGCCTCTTTTTCTACTTTAAGACGGGCTTCTTCTTCTTCTTTCTTTGCACGTTGCTCTTCTTCTTTCTTCTCCTCTTCTTCCTTTTCTAGCTTGAGACGGGCTTCTTCTTCTTTCTTTATACGCTTCTCTTCCTCTTGCTTCAAACGTTCTTGTTCTTTCTTTTCCCACGCCTCTTTTTCTACTTTAAGACGGGCTTCTTCTTCTTCTTTCTTTGCACGTTGCTCTTCTTCTTTCTTCTCCTCTTCTTCCTTTTCTAGCTTGAGACGGGCTTCTTCTTCTTTCTTTATACGCTTCTCTTCCTCTTGCTTCAAACGTTCTTGTTCTTTCTTTTCCCACGCCTCTTTTTCTACTTTAAGACGGGCTTCTTCTTCTTCTTTCTTTGCACGTTGCTCTTCTTCTTTCTTCTCCTCTTCTTCCTTTTCTAGCTTGAGACGGGCTTCTTGTTCTTTCTTTTCCTGCGCCTCTTTTTCTAGTTTGAAACGAGCTTCTTTTTCTTTCTTTACACGCTCTTCTTCTTCTTTCTTTAGGCGTTCTTGTTCTTTCTTTTCCTCCGCCTCTTTTTCTAGTTTAAGACGAGCTTCTTCTTCTTTCTTTTCCTGCGCCTCTTTTTCTACTTTGAGACGAGCTTCTTCTTCTTTCTTTACACGCTCCTCTTCTTTCTTTTTTAGGCGTTCTTGTTCTTTCTTTTCCCGCGCCTCTTTTTCTACTTTAAGACGGGCTTCTTCTTCTTCTTTCTTTGCACGTTGCTCTTCTTCTTTCTTCTCCTCTTCTTCCTTTTCTAGCTTGAGACGGGCTTCTTCTTCTTTCTTTACACGCTCCTCTTCTTCTTTCTTTAGGCGTTCTTGTTCTTTCTTTTCCCGCGCCTCTTTTTCTACTTTAAGACGGGCTTCTTCTTCTTCTTTCTTTGCACGTTGCTCTTCTTCTTTCTTCTCCTCTTCTTCCTTTTCTAGCTTGAGACGGGCTTCTTCTTCTTTCTTTACACGCTCCTCTTCTTCTTTCTTTAGGCGTTCTTGTTCTTTCTTTTCCCGCGCCTCTTTTTCTACTTTAAGACGGGCTTCTTCTTCTTCTTTCTTTGCACGTTGCTCTTCTTCTTTCTTCTCCTCTTCTTCCTTTTCTAGCTTGAGACGGGCTTCTTCTTCTTTCTTTACACGCTCCTCTTCTTCTTTCTTTAGGCGTTCTTGTTCTTTCTTTTCCCGCGCCTCTTTTTCTACTTTAAGACGGGCTTCTTCTTCTTCTTTCTTTGCACGTTGCTCTTCTTCTTTCTTCTCCTCTTCTTCCTTTTCTAGCTTGAGACGGGCTTCTTCTTCTTTCTTTACACGCTCCTCTTCTTCTTTCTTTAGGCGTTCTTGTTCTTTCTTTTCCCGCGCCTCTTTTTCTACTTTAAGACGGGCTTCTTCTTCTTCTTTCTTTGCACGTTGCTCTTCTTCTTTCTTCTCCTCTTCTTCCTTTTCTAGCTTGAGACGGGCTTCTTCTTCTTTCTTTACACGCTCCTCTTCTTTCTTTAGGCGTTCTTGTTCTTTCTTTTCCCGCGCCTCTTTTTCTACTTTAAGACGGGCTTCTTCTTCTTCTTTCTTTGCACGTTGCTCTTCTTCTTTCTTCTCCTCTTCTTCCTTTTCTAGCTTGAGACGGACTTCTTCTTCTTCCTTCACACGATCCTCTTCTTCTTTCTTTAGGCTTTCTTGCTCTTTCTTTTCCTGCGCCTCTTTTTCTAGTTTGAAACGAGCTTCTTTTTCTTTCTTTACACGCTCTTCTTCTTCTTTCTTTAGGCGTTCTTGTTCTTTCTTTTCCTCCGCTTCTTTTTCTAGTTTAAGACGAGCTTCTTCTTCTTTCTTTTCCTGCGCCTCTTTTTCTAGTTTGAGACGAGCTTCTTCTTCTTTCTTTACACGCTCCTCTTCTTTCTTTAGGCGTTCTTGTTCTTTCTTTTCCTCCGCTTCTTTTTCTAGTTTAAGACGAGCTTCTTCTTCTTTCTTTTCCTGCGCCTCTTTTTCTAGTTTGAGACGAGCTTCTTCTTCTTTCTTTACACGCTCCTCTTCTTTCTTTAGGCGTTCTTGTTCTTTCTTTTCCTCCGCTTCTTTTTCTAGTTTAAGACGAGCTTCTTCTTCTTTCTTTTCCTGCGCCTCTTTTTCTAGTTTGAGACGAGCTTCTTCTTCTTTCTTTACACGCTCCTCTTCTTTCTTTAGGGGTTCTTGTTCTTTCTTCTCACGCTCTTCTTTTTCTAGTTTGAGACGGGCATCTTTTTCTTCATTCTTTATGCGCTCCTCGCTTTCTTTCTTTCGGCGTTCTTGTTCTTTCTTAAGACAGGCTTCTTCTTCTTCTTTCTTCCGATGTTCCTCTTCCTCATTCTTTAGACGCACCTCTTCTTCTGTCTTTACGTGCTCTTCTTCTTCTTTCTTAAGACGTTCTTCTTCGTCTTTTTCCTTTTTCAGACGTTGCTGTTTTTCCAGTTTAAGTTGGTTTGCCTTTTCTTTCTTTAATTGCTCTTCCTGTTCTATTTTTAATTTATCAGCTTTCTCATCTTCTTCTTTTTCTTTTTTCAAACGTTCTGCCTCCTCTTTTCTTAATCTTTCTTCTTCTTGTTTCTTCCGTTCTTCAGCCGCAGCTATGTTCACACGATCCTCTTCTTCTTTTTGTTTACGTCCATCATCCTCCTGCTCTTCACGTGCAGCCTCTTCTCTTTTTAATCTTTCTTCTTCCTCATTCTTCAACCGTTCACTTTCATTTTCTTCGAACTCCTCACGTTCACCTTCTTTTTTCTTCAATAATTCATCCTCCTCTTTTTTCAAACGTTCCTCTTCTTCCTTTTTAAGTCTGTCAGCTTCTTCCTCTAGTCTCTTCTCTTCGGCGTCGATCATTTCCCTCTCACGCCTCTCAGCTTCTTTGATCTTTTCAGCTTCTTCCTTCTTCAATCTCTCAGCCCTCTCTAGCTTTTCCATCTCCTTTTTCTTCAGCTCTTCTTCCTTCTTCAAAATCTCAGCTTCCTCCCGACTCAACTTGTGAGCATCCTCTTCCTCATCCTCTTCCTCTTGTTCTTCAGCAGACAAAATTTCGGTCTCGGTCACATCTCTGTCCGTGGAATCCATTCCAGACTCCACAAGGGGGGCAGCTTCCTGCACGGAATGCTGAATAACTTCAATTCCCTTTTCGAGAGCTTCGACAGGAACTTGCATGGCCTTTAACAGAGTCCAAGCTATGGAGTCCTCTTGCTCATTTTCCAAAAGCGTTTGCTCGAGGACCATCATTCCGTGTTGAAGTACCCTCACTTGATTGGCCATTTCCGCTATAGGTGTTTCATTGTCGAGTATTAATTGCCCATCCGATTCGAGGCTAACATTCTGTTCTATTTGTGCAAATCCTCGCTGAAGCTCTTCCAGAGGCTGTGCGATGCTCTCCAAAGCTGAAATTTCCGAAAGAGTATCTTCAGAAGCTTCAACGTATTCTTCCTGAATTTCAGCTATTCTAGCTTGAAGCTCAACCAACGGTGCTCCCACCATTTTCATTACTTCAGCTTTCCTCTTAATGCAGATTGGCTCTTCAATTATTCTATCATGAATGAGCCTCACGGCACTTCGGAGATGCAGGATAGGTTGTTCCAAACTTTGGAAGGAAAATTCTTCCTGGACCTGTTCGATAGCTTCGATTGAATTTTTAAGTTCTGTCAAAGACGGTGCCAGACTCTTCAACAGTTGACTATCGTCAGCAGTGGAGGCCGATTCAGCGAATGGTTTATCAGCCGACTGTGTCTGGATTACTGAAATAGATTTTTGAAGATCCTTCAGCGAATCAAAAATTGCGTCCACGTTAACCACTTCGTTTGGAACGTCAAATTCTTCTTCGACAGCTGCGATACATTGCTCCATCCCTCGAAGAGGCTTCACGAGAGTTTTAAGAGCCTCCAACTCAATCTGAACTTCAACGCTGTTTTCTTCAGCAATTTTATTATCTATCTTGTCAATCGTTTCGGCTATATCTCCTATTGGCTCCAAGAGATTCTTCATAGACACAAATTTTCCCACCATCGACTTAGGCAATTCAATTTCTTCAAGGCCTTTGACGCTCACTTCCGGTATTCTCAAACGAACGACTTCCATAGCCGAATGAAGAGCTCTCAGTGGCTCTTCCAGATTAGCAAGATACATAGAAGAAGATTCCTGCACTGTGGTAATAGATTTTTTCAATTCTTCGAGCGGTAACGTTAAGGTACTTAAAATTTTGGTTTCCTCCTCAGCCTCAACGGATTCGGCGATCGGCCTATCTGCAGCTTGTTCCTGAACAAGGCAAATGGACTTTTCTAAATCGTAAAGAGACTCCACGATCGAGTCTATAGCTGCTTCTTCGTCGAACGTATCGTACTTCGTTTGAAGTTTTTCGAAGCTTTCCTGAATACTATAAAGAGGTTCTATCAGTGTCTGAAGAGCTTCGTACTCTATCGCCCGTTCTATACTACTCTCCTGAAGAGTCTCTTCCTGGATGCTGAGTATGGCCTCTTTGATTCCTTTCAGAGGTTCCATCAAATTCTTTATTATCGACCAGTCTGCTTCTAATGTTTTTGTAGCAACTTCAGTCACTTCAAACGTGCCTCTTTGCTTAGACAAATTATATTCCTGAATAGTAGCTATTGACTTCTGAAGTTCTTCAAGTGGATGTTCCAGTACCTTTATCGCCAAAGTCTCTTTCTTCTCTTCAACCGGAACAGAAGTAGGTTCGTGAAGTATTTGCTCCTGAATAATCGCTATAGATTTTTGCAGTTCCTCAACCGGTTGAGCCAGACTCTTCAGTACAGATATATCTTCTATTTCGGAGGTAGAAACGGCTTTGGGATCTTCCAGCAGCAATTCTTGAATATTGGCGATGGACTTCTGAAGTTCATCAATCGGCTCGGCCAATGATTTTAGAATCTTTATGTCTTCCTTGCCTGTTTCATGGTCCACGATTGCCTGCTCTTGAATAACAGCTACGGATTTCTGAAGTTCTTCAAGAGGTTCAGTGACGGCTGTCAAAAGAAAAGATTCTTCTCTGTCAGAAATAGAAGCTACATCCGGTTCGATTACAAGCTGTTCTTCAATAATCGCCAGACTTTTGTAAAGCTCTGACAATGGTTGTGCTAGTGTTTTTAAAGCCGAAATGTCGTCGTCCCTTGAAATAGTGACAGCCTCAGGTTCAAGAACAGTGTACTCTTGGATAATGGCGATGGCTCTGTGTATTTCCTGAAGAGGCGTAGCCAGTGTCTTTAAAATAGATAAATTTTCTTTTTCGGATATTGATTCTGTTCCCGGGTCAATAATTAGTTGCTGCTCGACTACAGCCAGGCTTTTTTGGAATTCTTCCAGGGGCTTCGCTAGAGTCTTCAGTAGCGAAATGTCTTCCTGTTCGGTGACTGATTCTGTACCAGGCTCCATTATGAGCTGATCTTGAATGAGCGCTACCGATCGATAAATTTCTTCTAAAGGTTTGGCCAAGGTTTCTAAAGCTGAGATACTCTCTTTTTCTGACAGTTTGCCCTCTGCTTCCATGATCGTTCGCTCCTGGATCGTAGCAATTACTTTTTGCAATTCTCTTAACGGCTGAGCAACAGTCTTCAACACTGATATGTCTTCCTTTTCTGAAAGTGAAGTAGCGTCGGGTTCCATTGTCTTCTGCTCTTCGATAAGTACTAATGATTTGTGCAATTCCTCCAGTGGATGAGCCAGTTCCTTCAAGAGCACCAATTCCTGTTCCGGAATGTACTCAACTCTGGGTTCGTCAAAGACAGTTTCTTGGACGATTGCAACTCCCATAGCTGGTTCCTTCGCATCATCTGCCCAGGTTTTCAACTGCGAAACATTTTCAGATATCGTATCTGCACTTGGTTCCATTATAGTTTCTTCTCCTACCACAGCCAGACACTTCTGAAGCTCTTCGAGAGGCTTAGCTAAAGTTTTGAGTACGGAGATATCTTCAAATTTGGAAACCTCTTCGATAGTCGGTTCGACAGAAGTTTCTTCTTGGACAACAGCTATTGATTTCTGCAACTCTGCCAAAGGTTGGGCAATTGTTTTTAACAGCGAAATATTTTCCTTTTCCGACATACTTTCTAGGCTTCCTTCAACCAGAACTTCTTCCTGGATCAACGCAATCGATTTCTGTAACTCTTGCAGTGGTTCGGCCATTTTTTTCAGAGTTGATGTACCCTCCTTTTCTGAGATACTTTGGGCATCAGGTTCCATGACACATTCTTCTTGAACAAGAGCAACGATTTTTGCTAATTCCTGAAGCGGCAGTGCCAGGGCGCTGATCATCTTCACGTTCTCAGCTTTTGTCAATTCTGAAATTCCCGGTTCGAAAACTTTTTGCTCTTCGATCGTAGCTATCGATTTTTGAAGTTCATGAAGAGGTTTAGCAATCGCTTCAAGAACATTCAGATCCACCGTTAAGTCTTTCAGAGATTCAGTCATTTCTTCGGGAACTTCCGATTGAAGCCCTTCGGCGACTTCTTTAACAATTTGTTTTTCTTGAATCTTCACCTTGGCTTTGGGTTCTTCTTCCGTTGATTTCACAGCGCTGGCTTCTTCGATCTCTTCCGAAGCTTGATCTTCTACGCTTTCCGTGACTACTGCTTCTTCTTGGATTACAGCAATGGACTCCTTCAACTCTTGAATTGGTTTTATTAAATCTTTCAGAAGTGGTGCTTCCGAATCTTCGCCCAGGACTTCACCCACTTCCTGGGTCTCTTCAGCAGCTATCGCGACAGCCCTTTGTAATTGTGCCAGTGGCTCCTCAAGAGCTTTCAGAACTTCTATTTTGATACCTTGTTCAGTAATGACTTTCTCCTTGACCCCAGCAATAGACTTTTGCAAAGCTTCCAACGGTTTAGCTAATTCCTCAATCTTTGCTGTTTCTTCCGCCACCCTTTCCGTCACTTGAATCGCTTCTATGAGCTTCTCCATCTCCTCAAGAGGCCTAGCAATGGCTGCTTCCACATCCTCCTGAACTTTATTAGCAGTTTCAGTTCCTTGCTCAACCTTCACTTCCTGAACAGTCACAACAGCCTTCTGCAATTCTTCCATCGATAACGCCAATTTTGACAGATTCTCTTTCGACTTGCCTTCTTCCACTTTGACCTCCGCGATGCTCGCTATCAATTTTTGCAGCTCTTCCGTTTGCTGTGCCAAAATTTCAAGAGCCTTTATTTCAGGTAATTCTCCCGTTGATCCAGCAGAAACAACTTCTTCTTGGATCAGGGAAATACTTTTTTTAAGCTCTTCCAAAGGTCCAGCCAATTTTGTCAATGGAGAAATATCTGATATCTTATCGATGGACTCCACGACTTCCTCTTGCAGAATCGCCACACGCTCCTTAAGATGGTTGAGCGGTTTGGCAAGTTGTTCCAGAGCTGGAACATCCTTCAGATCACCAGTATGTTCCAGGACCATTTGGTCTTCTATGCTGGCAATAGCACGTTGAATGTCTTCGAGAGATTTTGTAATTTCTACAGGCGTCTTTTCACTCGCCAAAGTTCCAGCTTCTTCAGACTCTTCTTGACTTAGCATTATTGATTCCTGAAGCTGTCGCAAGGGTCTAGCCAGAGAGTCTAGCAATTCTGGAGCTTTCATCACGGTTGCCACTTCGGATGAGCTTTCTTCAACTTTAACTTCAGCTTGCGATTCATCCATCTTCTCCTTTACTTCAATCGGCTTTACTTCTTCAGTCAAGTGCTCTTCGTTGCTCGATTTGGCTTCAGCTAATTCCTTCTCATCTGCCAACCGTGCCTGCTGAACTTGTTCAGTGATCTTCGTTTCCGATGCTTTTCTTTGCGATACCTTGTCTTCGCAAATAATAGCTATAGCCTTTTGTAACTCTTCAAGCGGTTTGGCTACCTCCTCCATAGTTGAACATTTATCTGGAATCTCTTCAACGCTCTCTACCGTGATTGCCTTCTCTTCAATGGCCGCTATGAACGTTTGCAATTCTTCCAAAGGTTTCGTCAAGGAACATAACGCCGGAATGCTGTCCTGTATATCTTTCAAGGATTCGCCAGCAACTAAAACAGTTTGTTCCTGGATAACCGCGATTGTCTTTTGAAGTTCTTCCAGGGGTTTTACGATTTGTTGAAGAACTTTTTCATTATCTGGCATTTCTGCACTTTCTTCCAGGAGAACTTGTTCCTGAATAATGGCAATGGATTTTTGCAATTCTTCCAAGGGTTCGCAAATGGTATGAATACTTCTTCCTTCGTCTGCCATCTCCTTAGTGGTTTCTAAACTTTGTTGCAGAGCAATCACGAGGCAGCTTTTTAGATCTTCGAAAGGTCTTGCCAGTTCGGAAATTATTGAAACGTCTGGTAGCTGCGAAGTGGTTTCAGCAACTTGACCTTGAGATACCATAATGGCTTCGATGAGTTCCTCGAGTGGCTGGGCAGTGGTTTGTTGAATATCTTTTGAATCTTCCTTCCCTTTGGATTTGGATTCTTCTGGTTCGATAATTTTTACTTTTTTCACCTCCAAGGAATGTATTGCTTTAAGAAGTTCCGTGACTGATTCTGCCAGATCAAGAAGTACTGTGATATTTTCTTCTATGGCTGCACTGGTACTGCCTTCGATCATCTGTTGTTCCTGAATGATGGCTAAGGATTTTTCGAATTCTTCAAGAGGCTCCATCAGATGTTTTAGGCTGGATAAATTTCCAAATTCTGCTCCGGTCTCTTCGGATATTTGAAGTACGTTTGTTAAAGCGGATTCAAGCTTTTCCAGGGAACTTGCGAGATTTGTGAATACCGCTTCTTCGGTGCTCAAAGAAATTGCGACGAAAACTTTATCTACTATAGCAGCGTTCACCTTGAGTATTTTCTGAAGATTTTGGACTATATCCAATTCTTGAAGTTTTTCGGGTTTTTCGCTTGTAATATCAGAAATTTGACGTTCGATCGAACTTGCAATTGATTTTGTTAGTTCCTTCAATGGTTGCGTCAAATCTTTTAAAATAGTGACACTCGGAACTTCGATTTTGGTTTCGAGCTTTTCAATTTCGGCTTCTTTCTCTACTGGTGACTTTGGTTTTTCGGGTACGGTCGATTGTTCAATTTGTGATGCTTTCGGTTCTGGTACTTCATCTGTTTTAGGTATTTCAGCTTCTGTGGGATGTGCTGCTTCTTGAGGTTGAGATATCTCTTTAGGCTTTGTAGCTTCTTTGAATTTGATTTCTTCGTCGGTTTTACATTCTTCAATTGCTCCAGATATTGATGGTTCGGAAGTTTCTGGTGCTTCTTCCTGCTTAGTAATTTCTTTTGTTTCAAGCACATCTGCTTCAACAACTTCCGCTGGTTTTTCTACTTTGAGTTTTTCTTCCTTAGAAGGTCCAGCAGGTTCCGATGCTTCAGTTTCCGATTGTGCTATTGTTTTTTCTGATTCTATCGCTTCCTCCTTCAAAGTTTCTTCAGGCTGGCTCACTTCATCTGGTTTCAGCACCTTTTCTTGTTCTAGCATCTTCTCCTGTTCAGCTACTACTTCGTGTTCCTGCACCTTCTCTTGTTCAGATACGTCTTCCGGTTTCATCACCTTCACCTGTTCAGATACCTGTTCTGATTCTAACGTCATTTTTTGTTCAGGTACCTCTTCTGGTCTCAGCTCTTTTTCTTCCTTAGACATTTCCCCTGTTTTCAGGACCTTCTCTTGTTCTTGTTTGGGCACCTCTTCTGGTTTCAGCGTTTCTTCTATTTGACTTTCTGGCTGTTCAACATTAATTGCCTCTTCCACCTTTGGCAGCTCTTCAATTTCAATACCCTCCCTTTCTTCTATCGTTTCTTCAGCTTTCGCAACCTTAATCTCTTGAACTCTTTTAGAAGTCTTAGCTTCTTCAAACTCACTCGGAATATCTTTCACCTCTGCCGTCTTCGCACTTTCCATCTTAGCTTCTTCGATCGCATCTTTAATTTCCGAGACTTCACCCACAATTTCTTCAGTTACTTCACCCGAAACTTCAGCTTGTCGCGGCGTCTCAACCGCAATATCTTTTTCGGCAGCAATCGAAGCTGCAATCTTTTCTTCTTTCAATACTGCTAAAGACTTTTGAAGCTCTTGAACTGGTTTAACAAGTCCTTGTAATGTTTCAACTTGGTGATGTTTACCGATCGTTTCCAAAGGTACTATCTGTTCCTGAACAATCGCAATGGTTCTTTCTAATTGATCCAAAGGTTCCGCCAATGTAGCGATGACCGACAAATTTTCTTTATCAGTCATAGATCCTGCCTCTTCCACTTGAACAGTTTGTTCCTGAATAGCAGCTATAGATTTCTGAAGTTCTATCAGTGGCTCCGTTAGCTGCTTCAACATCGATTCACTCTGCATCTCTTGTGTACTCTCAGCAAGATTTTCCTGAACGGCGGATATAGATTTCTGTAACTCGCCAAGATGTTGACTCAAAGGTTGAACAGGTTCTTGGCCAACAGTTACTTCGGACATCTGAACTTTTCCTTCTTGAAGAGATGCAACAGCTTTTTGCAATTCTTGCAGAGGCTTTGCCAGTTCCTTGACAAGCTTTACGTTTTCAATTTCTTGTTTTGACATTTCAATCACTTCATCCACCATCGTCTCGACTTTACTCATGACCATTGGCATTTTGTCTTCAACTTCACTATCAGCAGTGGAAGCTCGTTGCACTTCTGCAACTTCTTCTGCCGTTTCTTCAGCTTGTTGTTCTTGAAAAGCGACCTGCAGAGCTCTTCGCAATTCCTGACTCGTTGGAGACGGATCTCTCCTGGGTAGCTCCTCGACTGTCAATGCTGCCTCACTCCTAGGAGTTCCTCTAACAATTTTTCTCACGATCTCCTTGATCTTATCCAGAGGAACAAAAACAGCTGACAGAGTCTCAATGATCGAAGCTCCTTTGGCTTCGTGAATCAACTCATTTTGAAGAAGAGTCAACGAAGTTCGAAGTTCGGACGTCGAGTCGCTGAGTGCTTGAAGAAGTTCCGTCGAGGATGGCGTGATGGGATGCATGACCCTTTGTTCCAAATTCTCACTGAGGACGGTCAAAGCCGATTGCAGCTGATTCGTAGGATATAGAAATCCTTCGATAATGACTTCCTCGTCGATAGGCTGATCCAACTGATTGAATTGGTCCTGGGCCAGCAGGATCTGCTTCTGAAGAGCTTCCAAGGACTGTGAAATAACTTGGTACGTCTGTTCGTCAATGTAATCCTCCAGCGCGAGGATCGTATTGCTCAGATGATCCAGAGGACCAATCATATGACCGCGCAGAGTGACGCTTGGCCTTCTTGAATAATCCGTCTTGTTCACCTGCTGCTGAATCGTGGTCATTGCAGAATTCAAACTGATCAGCGGCTCGACGATCAATCCAGAGTTCTTCTTATCTTTTATTTTCTCGACTGTATCGTCGATGGACTTCTTCAGGCCTTCTACCGCGTCGAATATGACGTTCTTCTTTTCAGCGAGTAGCGTCGTTTCAGGAACGACGCCTTGGCTACTATGAATGACACTTAGAGAGCTCTGGAACTCTATGAGAGGCTCCACTAGGTTTTTCAACTCCAGAATGGCTTCCCTTTGCTGGTCCAGTAGATCATAATCCGTCGATATTATGTTCATTGTCTCCCTAAGGACATCGACAGGCTCTCCCAAGGATGCTGCGACGTCCGTTTCAACTGTGTCCTTCGCAGAGATTTCCAGATCGTTCATGCACTTTCTCACGATTTCCAGAGGCTTGATCACGTCGTGAAGGACCTGGATCACTACCTGCCTTGCATTTATTTCTCGCGATACGATTGGTATCCTCGTTTCTATATGCTGAAGAACTTTTACAATGGGTTCAAGATTCTTCGACTGATTCGACTGATCCGCTTTTATGACGTTCTCCACGACTGTCTTTATTTCTCGAATTGGTTCCTCGAGGTGGTTCAGGATAAATAGTTCCTCCACGTTATGCTTACTCGTGCTCAATGCCTCACTCATGCTCAATAATGGCGGCAGTAAGTCGTCTAAGGCTGTTATGGTTCCTTCGTTTGATAACGATTCGGTATAGGACGCCGTCGATATGTGAAGCATGGATACCGATTGTCTTAGCTCTTCAAGGCTATTTGCTATTTTCGATGTCGTACTGGTTGATAACTGTTCGTAATCTTCAAGAGTGCTCGCTATCTTCAATTGGACCGTTTGAAGTGGTTTGGATACTATTGTTGATATGTCTTCAGGTTCAACTTTCACCTCTGTCTCTTCTCCTGGAACTTCTTCCGTCTTCAACTCTTCTTCGTACTTCTTCGCTGCGACTGATTCCGCTAAAACTTTTTCCGAACCTGCCAAGGACTCTTCTTCTTGCTTCTGAAGCATCACAGTTTCCGAAGAGCCGACTGTGCTGATAGTAGCCACAGAGGTGGTTTCTGATTTTGAGGTATCTGTAACTTTGTGGGTTTCAGGAAGTTCACTCTGCTGAATATCAACTGCAGTTGTTTCTTCAGGTATTAAAGACTTCACGACTTGCTGCAATTCCTTTTTGTACAGAGCTTCCTTAATCGATAGTGGAACCTGATTTTCGATTTCTTCAATCGTTTCTAAAATCGGCTGAAGAGATTCAGCTGGATAATTTTGCATAGATTCTATTATCACCCCGAGAAGATACTTCATTGGCTGTTTTATATTTTCGAGCACAGTCAGATCTTCGGGTTCATGATTAACTGCAATTGCGTTTTGCAAAAGGGCCAGGGGCTCCTTGAAGTCAGTCATTGATTCGATCAAGTCTTCATCAGCCGGAGGTTCCGAGTACGAAGTCTCAATGGCAACGCTCGTTACCTTTTGCTTCAGTTTCTCGAGCGAATGTAAAATTTTGGACTTCACAGCTGCCTCCTTTCTACCCTCTTCCAGAATCGAAGTTAATAAATTCTGTATTAGATTCATTGGCTGCGAAACTTTTCCAGAGAGTCTTTTCGGCTTTGAAACCGTCGCGACTTCAGCATGCTGCGGCTTCTCTTTTTGAAGTTTGGCTTTCTTCGCAACTTCCTTAACAACCAATGGAACGTCTTTCTCAATTTCTTCGAGCAGTTCTACCAGAGGAAGCACCGGTTCCGCCTGAACACTCTGAAGTACGTTCAGGACTATAGTCTTCAGCTGCTGAATAGGATGAGCCACGTGGTTCAGGATAGCTTCTTCGTTCGGACCATGATCTTCAGTCAAGAGGACTCTTTGAAGGTTCAATAAAGGTTCCTTCAGCTTGGATAATTCAATGACAGTTTCTTCGTCACTCAACGGCTCGGTAGTGGAACCAACTGCCACAGCAAGGGCACCAATATTTTGACGAATTTCTTCGAGCCCGGCAGCAACGGAAGACGACGCTGATTTTTCAACTGAACCAGCATTTTCATGTTCCTCCAATACCGAAGAGAGTCCAAAGTGGATGTTACTTAACGGCATTGCTAAGCTGCTCCCAAGAACAGCTGGTTTCACTTCGGAAACTTCGGGCTTCCCCGCTTCAGCCAAAGACAGTCTCTTCACTTCCAGTTGCTCGTGAACTTTGGGAACCTGCTCCTGAATTTCTTCCAGCATCCTAAAAACTGGTTTCATGGCTTTGGCCTCGGAGCCTTGCACGTATTGCAAGACTGTGGCTATCACTTCCTTCAGTTCGCTGATTGCCTGGGGCATCTTTTTCACAACTGATAGCTCCTCAGGCACGTGTTCCGAAGCAAGAGCCAGCTGCAGATCCAGAAGTGGTTCTCTTAGATCCACCAGGGCGTTCAGGGTATCCGTTTCCTTCAAAGTCGTTGCTGTATGAGCAACGGTTGACACGTACTGCCTCAGCTCTACCAACGATCCAACCAGTTCCGACGACTGGAACTCGACGTTGCTCATCAGCTCCATTTCTTGAAGAGCCGAACTGATGTTCGCCTGTATGTCAATGAGAGGGTCCAGTATCTTCTCTGGGAAGTTCTGAGGCTCTTCGAATGAAACTGACTTCATCGAAGCTTTTTCCAAACGTTCGGAAGTCGTCTTCGCGACTTGAGGCACTTGAATCTCTAGCTCCTCCAGGAGACTCAGAACGGAGTGCACGTCTTCGGCCTGGCCCTGCTGCAAGACACCTAGAACGACAGACCTCAATTCCGATATCGGCTGGTCCAGGTGTTCCAGCAATTTGTAATCTTCGACGTCGTGTTCTTCGGTTACCAAAGCCTGCTGGAAATTTAACAATGGCTGCTTCAAGTCTGCCAGAATGTGAACTGTGTCCTGATCAGTCAAATTCTGAGCCTCGGAAATGGTCATGCTCAGTTGTTGACGTATGTCTTTGAGGCTCGTAGCGATTTCCGAGGTCGGTAAAGATCGATCGATCGCTTTTTCATATTTATCAATCGCCGAACTGATCTCCGTGTGAATGTTGGTCAAAGGTGCTGATATCTTTGCTGCCAGCACTTTTGGTCTTGGCAGTCGCGCCTGTCTGGCTTCTTCTTCTTTGGCAATCACTTGGTCAATGACGATTGGCACTTTGTTCTCAATTTTTTTCAGTACTGCCAAAACAGGTTGCATCAATTCCTCAACATCCGGTCTCTCACTGACAGTCGTCAAGATTCCCCTCAATCGGGCAATTGGTGTTTCCAGGTTCTTCAAGATGACCAACTCCTCGCCGCTATGATCTTGAAGTTCAAGAGAGGATTGAAGAGCGTGAAGGGGTCCTTTCAAATTTGACAGAACGTCGACAGCTTCCTGATCATTTTGGATGCTCGATACCGTCTCCAATTTTTTATTCAATTCATCGATATAATTGACGATCGATGACGATCGGCCGCGTCTCTGTGCGATCACTTCGTATTCGCGAAGAGCAGCATCAAAGGTCGAGCGTACCTCTTGGAGCGGAGTGTTTACGAGATTTGAGATCGGTTTTAGTTTCGGAATTTTGGCTAATTCTTCCTGCATGGTAATTGCCTTTATTTGAATTGCTTCCAGAGGCTGAACTACTTGACTCAAATTCTTAACGTAGAGCTGCCCAACGCCTTCGCTTATTTTACCATCCACAATATTCGACTGGATGTTGTATATAGCCTCGTGAAGAGCATTAAGAGGCTTCGCGATCGACGACAAAATTCTAATGTAATTTTCGCTGAGCGTTCCGTCAGTCAGATTTACATTTTCGAAAACGTCTTCCACGAAAGCTTGAATTTCCGCCATTACGGTGTCCAAAGTCTTCGATCCGATTGCCCGTAATTCGTTGGCTCTGATGTCCTCGACTATTCTAACGATGTTACTCAAGGATATCGTAAGTCTGTCAGTTGCCTCGTGACTCAGAGCGAATTCGGGTGTGACCTGCCCAAAGACACTCTTGACGCAATTGGCTTGGTCGTACAATTCCTTGAGGTAGGCTTCATTTATCTTGACCCTCTCCACACTGAGTACTTCGTGTTGTAATTTTTGAAGAAGCGGCAAGATCATCGTGATTTCTTCACTGTGCTGCCGAGACTTCAATACCGCATTGGTGCCGATCTCTTCAATGGCAGTGTCGATTTTCTCCCGGATTGTCGTCAAGTTCGCTAAAGCTTCGCTCTCGTGCATGGTAGTGAGATTCGACAGTTCCATTATAGGCTGATAAAAATTGTGGATCAGATCAACCGTGAAGACGTCTCCGACTTTGCCTATGCAGATACTTTTTATTTTCTCGAGATTCGTCGATATCATGTTCAGAGGTTCCCTCAGTGTTCTTATTATCAAACTCTTATCTTCCGTAGCTGGTACTTCGGCTGCTGCGGTCAGGACGTCCGCGACTGCTGCCTTCATCCTTTCAATGGCCAGGGAGACTCCGCTGTCCTGGATCTTGACTACCGTGTCTTGCTGAAGTCGATCAATTATTCGGTCCAGAGGCTCCTTCACGTCTTCCAGAGCCGTGATGTTCGTGTTCCTGGCGTCTCCTGTGTCGAGCAGTGTTTTCTGAAAGGAAGTGACGTTGCGATCTAAATTTTCTAAGGATTCCAAAAGATTGTTGAAGTCGCTAGTGTGAAGTTCAGTGATCGTCTCGAGTTTTCTTAGTTCGGCATTCAAGAGGTCAATGGGTTGAGCTATTGATTTGAGAATATACGAATTGTTCGCGAGGGTCAGCTTGCTGCTGGTCGATTGGAACGCAACATTTTCGAGGATCTGCGCTAAGCCTTTTTGGACTTCGATGAGAAGAGGTTTTGAGTGCTTCAAAGGATTTACCGGAAGACTCGAGATGGCTTCGATCGTTCTTTGAAATTCCAAAATTGACTTCGCTGCCACTTGTAACTCTTTCTTTTTTCCAATTGCAGCCTTATCATTTTCCAATCTGATCATCTCCTGGTCCACTCCGTTTATTACTTCCGTGAGCGTCGTCACGACGACGGAATGATAGTCCACCGTTTCCTTTCCATAACTCTCCAAAGCCATGCTCAGATTCCCCAGCCTGGTCTTCATCTCGCTGATTGGATTTTTCAGGTCCTCTAGAATCTCCAAAGTCAATCCGTTCCCTAGAGACTTGGTAGCCAGACCCAAAGACCTTACGAGATCTTCCACTGGTCTCGTTAGCGATTCCACGATGATGGTATCGACGTTCTCGATGGTCCCGGTGACGGGATTGATGTTGACGTTACTCAGGAACGAATCAAGATTCTGGCAGACCGCTCTGAGTTGCGGAATCACCGTGGTGGACCCGTCGTCCACGTTTCGAAGGAGTTCAATATTTTTGGAAAATTTAGCAAGCGTGTGTGTCATTCGCTGAAGAGCAATTGGTTTCTCGTACCTAGCCTGACCCGACAGCTCGTACTCGATCTTGGCCAATCCGCTGAAGATCTCGTCAATAGGATCGGTCAGTGATTCCAGTATTATCAGATCCGACCTGACAGCCTGAGATCCCTCGTGTCGCTTTATCAGCTCGATTCCACGCAAAAGTTCCTCCATTGGACCACTGACAGCTTCCAGAAGTGAAATTCTCGTGGTCTGAGTCAATGATTTGTCTCCGGCTCCTTTCAGTGCTTTGGCTTCGATGTCTGAGACTTCGTTGCACAAATTTTGAATTGGATGAACTATGTGCTCGAGGATCAAAGCATTTAGCCTATCCTCGCTTTCAGTCTCAAAAAGTGAATCCAGGTTGATAAGGGCATTTCGAATGACAAACACTGGTTGGGACAGTTTACGAATATTTTCGATGAGTCTCTCTTTGTTACTTTTACTGACCGATTTTTCAGTGTCCGACTTTGATAACTTTTCTATGGTAGCCTGATCATTAATGGCGAGACCATCGCCCTCTTCTACGTACTGCTCGCCGACCTTGACAATTGGTTCCAGCTGGAAGGACACTTCCGGTTTACCACTTCTGGACTTGCTGCGTCTTCGCGGTTCGCTGCTCATCGAGGATTCTTCGGAACTTCCCTTCGACAGTCCCTTATCTTTCTTCTTCTTGACCTTCTTCTTCTTGGGCACTCCGGTTACGGAATCGAAGGAAGAGTCTCCTTCCTGGCTGGACGTCCTTTCGCCGCTGGTCTTCTGCTTCCTCTTCAACGCGTCTTTCTGGCTTGTTCTTTCGGACACTGAGGTCATCTGCGAATGAATCGACAGAGCGTCCGTGAAAGCTTCACTGTCGTCTCTGTGAGATATTTGAGCTGTGGGTTCCTTCGCGCTGTGATAACTCTCAGACTCCATTCGTTGACTCTTCTCGCTCTTCTCGCTCCGTTCGCTCTTCGTTGAACTTACGGATTTCCTTCTGGGGGGTCTCAGCGGTCTTCCGTCCTCGTCGAAGAGCGGAGTCGCCGTCAAGTTCCTGTCGAATCGATTGACATCATCGGATTGGACTTCCGGTGAAGACAGTGCTTGCGTCTGATCCTCCATTATAGACATGTCCTCCATATCCGCTTCCGTGCGAAGATCTTCACCCTCTTCCGCAGTTATGAAGTAATCCGGCGAGACATCGATGACCACAGCTTCCATTAATAAATTTCCGGAAGTTGAGGTCTCCTTCACGAATCTCATAGGAGGCAATTCGATGACGTTGTGCTCTGTTAAAAATGATCTCTTCGAATGATCTACCATTTTGAGATCACATATTTTCATACCAAATTCAACAACTTACCTGTGACGTGTTCCGATAATTGATCGGCATACATTTCAACGATCTGAAGAGCCTCCTCCTCTGTCAGATCAGGAGTCTCGTACAGACTTACCGACACTTCTTTGCCATCGAAGCTGAACGATACTTCGCCCCGATCGTCGATCGTCACCGAATGATCGGTTTGCGGAGTATCGTACAGTTGGGAAGTCCTTTCTTCCTGGATCGTAGAGAGAGAAAGATTGCGAGCCAGTTCGTGACCCGGTGGAATCTCCTTGATTTCCTTTCGAACCGCTACGCGATCTACGGGTGAAGCAATTAGATCCTTATAGTCCAGAACCCACGAAGCTTCTACTCGATGAGGTCATCAACGGTACCTTCGAATCCTAATAAGGAAGCAGAACTGCTGACAGTTCCCATGCAATTGGTAGCTTCGCAAGTATAAGTTCCCAGGCAACAGGTGCCATCCTGGCCTGAAATTATCCTATGAATGTCTCCTGGTTTCAGTTCCACACCATCCTTGTACCACTTCAGGACAGGCTGAGGTACGCCGATGACTTTACATTCCAAATTCACGGCACCCTCCTCGGACAATATGGCGCGAAGGCTTTCGAGGAACTTTGGCTTTTTATAATGTTTTGGTATTGTCAGTTTCAAAAAACACGAGGTAATACTGTGCCCGAAATCATTCGTTGCCACGCATTTCCATTCGGCCTGTAAAAGAATTTTGTGTTTAAACAATTTTTTGGACTTCATTTTTTTTTTCAAATTTTTTCTTTACTTACTTGATCCACAAACTCAAGTTTTCGTATGTTCAAGTGACAAGTTCCTAGAGTTTCTCTTGCTACCTGATACTTATCGTTTTCGTTTATTGGCTCGTCATCGCGGTACCATGACAGATTCGGTTCCGGTGCGATACTAACTGTGAATTCAGAGTGAATAAAAAAAATTGAAGTACAGATTGAAAATTGACAATTGGATTATCTTCCTCGAATAATATTACCTTGCACGCTAAATTGGAAATCCTCCAAAATTTTCGCTTCGGCGCTCTTCAATCCTTTGACGAACTTCGGCGGTTGGTTCGTACTGAAGAGTTGAAGTCGTTCTTCCTCGTTCAATTGGTTTTGAATATCCTCGACAGTCAGTTCGGCCGTACTTCTCGCTTCGCCCATACAATTTCTAGCGATGCAGCAATAGGAACCTAGAAAATTCATTTGCGATTCTCAACGCCAGTCGAACAGTTATTTACGAGACTCAAGATAAGAGGCTGACCTAACGAATTGGTTCCAGTCAGCTGATAAACATCTCCTGGCTTAAGTTCCTGACCGTCCTTGAACCATCTCAACAATGGCGTAGGGAAGCCGACGACCTTGCACTCAAAGGACACCAGTCCTTCCTCGGTCAGGACGGCTTTGAGACTTTCCATAAAACGAGGTTTCCTGTAGTTCTTTGGAACTGCCAATAAACAGGCAACGTTGTAGAAAACCGATAAAATTTTTACGTGCAATTCACTCGGTGCGATTGACAAATTTTTTTGTTTCTTCATGCAAGACATATCTTCACTCGTAAAATGTGGGTAGGGAAAAAAATGAAAAAAGTGACAATTTCAACCAATCGCTTTATTAGTAAAAGCCAGTTGTTGTGAGTGGCGTTATCTCGCGATATTAATAAAATGTTAGATAACAAAAAGGCGTCACTCGTCACCGAAGACTTACTGGACATCGCGACAAAGCAGGTCGTGAACTGTTTCATATTTTCTGAACTGGTTGCGACGCATTTCCATTCGCCCTCGTCCATGAATTCGACCGATTTTATTTCAATGGAGTATCCTCCCAGGCCATCCTCCATCACGTGGTACCTCTCGTTGGCCTCGACGCGACCTTCTTTGTTATACCAGTTTATGGCTTTGGGCCATGGCGGCACTTGAACTGCAATTGGTAATAAACTTCATGAAATGGAGAACACGTACCAATAGGCTACTCTTCGATGTACCTTGACAAGACAAAGTAATCGATTCCCCAATCCTGCAGCACTCATCCTTGAGGATCTGCTTGAAAACAGGCATGGGTCCCGAGGGTGTCAAAGTATCAGCAGGCTTCATTGACCCTTCCCTGCTACCTTTACCGACCACGTGGACCTGGGACAATTGGACAATTCTTGCTGAGTACCGTATACCAACTCTTAAACTTCACAGCTGGTTCATCCGGCATACAACTGACCTTGGATGAAGAATAAGTTGTACCCATGCAATTGACTGCTTCGCAGGTGTAAGTGCCCAAGGAAGTTGGATCATCTGGATTTGCCGTAAGGGCGAAGACGTCTCCAGCTTTGATCTCTTTGTTGTCCTTGAACCATCTCAAAACTGGAGTTGGTACACCAACTACTTTACACTCCAATGAGACGGTACCCATTTCCGTGAGAAGTGCCCGAAGTTCCTCGACGAATTCCGGCTTCTTGTACGCCTTTGGGACTGAAGAGAAGAGATTGAAGATACGTCAGCTGGTTCCTCCGCGGATCAACTGGATCCTTGAGCTTCGCTTACCGATTACGTTGAGGTGAGAGGTGCAGGACGAACGGCCCCCACGATTTTCTGCCATGCAGGTCCAGTGTCCTTCGTCGTCGACCATCACGGGTGCCACGTCGACGCAATAAAAGTTTCCTTCGTGGACGAACGAGAACCTTGATCCTTCCTGTACCAGTTCATCGTTCCTGTGCCAAGTGACCTGCGACCAGGAGAAAGTTATTTTTAAATTCTCGATTAATAATTGTTTGACTCTCTGAAAGTCCCGTTTGTAAGATTAGGTGGAAGGTGCTAAAAACAAGTACCAGACGATGACTCCACTAAGGAATGAATCACAGTCCTGGGCCAACCAGTGGATACCAAAAATAAAGCTTTTTTTTTTTCCTTTTCACTTACACGCAGACGGGAAATGAGAACTGTTTCAAGGATTCATGGTTCATCCAACTGTACGCTTGTATAGTGTGCGAACTAGATAAGATGGTAGCGGTAGGAGAGGAGAGAGAAAGATTTTGGTATGAGTCTGTGCGCGAGAGAGAAGGGAGAGGGAGAATTAAGGTATTCTATCGTATACGTATGCGGAGTTGAACTATTTATAAACTTTACTGCTTGGGAATAATGGACGACTTGGACTCCGGATAATCATTAGGTCAGTGTGTTCGAAATACGTGCTTCCTTACATCAGAGTGTAAAAGTTCGTAGCACTATTTATTTGGCCTATGACAGATACATATACTGGTGAAGTATGATTTTGAAAAGAGTTCATTCGAAATTTCTTTATTATTGCTTCAAAGAATCAGGCTGCGACAGACATGTCAATCGGAAGATCCGTTTGAACTTCGTTATTGGGTTCAGACATTAATAGCACCATAGCCACACCTGACGCCGGGCGTCGCGACGATGTCACAATTTCTTGATCGTCATATCAGGGAACATCTGTCTCTCAAATTTTTACTGGCTTAAGTCAAATTTAAAAAATATAATTTTTGAATGAAGAAAATGATAACAATTTTTATTAGTGTTTTTCCTTGGCACGTGAAACTGTTTGGTACTGAGGTCAGTGACCCTGGCTTATCTTAGTTCGCCATTATCCAAAGCGTGGCTACTTGTGGAATTCATGGCAATACGTCACTTGGGTACATGCACCGGTAGACGCATTTCCCTTCCGGGTAGATTCAGATATCTGGCCGAGTGCCGAGACGGCGTTTTATCTTTTGTCTTTCCAAGACTGGAAGAAAACGAAGAGACCGGGGGGAAAAGGGGAAAAGGGGAAAAATAGCACGGACACGAACCTTCAAATTCGTGGAACTGCGAATCTCCACGAGGAATCTGGTTCTGGTTCCAACTTTTACGGCAAGATCGCTCAGCCTCCTGATGAAGATCGGCGGGTCGCCGTCCTCGGCGCTGACCTCATCGACGCTCAGGTGAATCCTTCTTGAGGAACTTCCGGATATGTTTTTCGCCACCAGAGCGTACTGACCTGCGTCATCTTTTCTTGATTCTTTCAATGTCAACTGAACTACGCTGCTTCTTGCGTGAATGCGATATCTATCCGATGGCATGGGTTGATCTCCTCGCAACCTGTTAAACATTCAAAAAAGTCAAAATTAATATTCTTCCTCAAGGGTTACTCAAAAAGCATCCTCAGATAGTCCCTAAAGCGTCTCTTCCCAAATTGACTCTTATCCTCCAATTTTAGGACGGAGTTGTCTGTTCTCGCGCGTAAAACGAAAGCACGTGTTCAAACTAAAAATTACGGTATCTGTCACTGCATACCGGAAATCAGTCGGTAATGCCTAATAATAGAGCTCGATCTTTTTTTAACGACTCTTTGGGCTCCCTCGATGCGCGGCATCCAGTTCGATTTAACTGGATTTACAAGAATTTCAGTCCAGCTGGTGAATATTTCCAATTGGTTGGATCGATCGAAATTCAAATTGGACGAAAAACAGTTTCGAACCACGAGAGGTCGGATAGTTTAGATTTTGCTTGTCCTAAAAATAGTTGCTACCCGAATAAAAGAAAAGGCAACCAAAACGTTCGTGCGGCTGTCGATGTCATTGTGATGCAATTGAACCGATTTCGCAATCCGCAAATGTCAGATTCGGATTCTAGTTTCTTTAGGGCGATGGCCCAGCTCCAATCGGATCATCTACGGGTACCCGACGATTTCTAGGTCTGCCTCGACGTCTTCTGGGTCGACGTCCCAATGGATTCCGTGGCTCCGATCGGCGCCCTGTCGGTATCCCTCATTCAGCTGCACCCACCAATTGCGCAAGATTGCACAGTTTGAGGTTGCAGACCAATTAGCTATCCTCATCGATTAACCCCGGCCAATTGCGAATGCTATTCTCGATGAACGTCACAATTTTTACCCCGGTCTTCGCAGCTTCTTCGGTGACATTCGCGCTCCGCTGCGCAATACACGAAAACTTGGCAAGCGCCGTACAACAAAGTTCTTGAAAGTTGCATAAAGAAATTCCAAGGCAATTTTTCTATAACCCGAAGAATAAAAAAAAATATTGGCCAAACAAATAATTTCTTTATTTTAATATTCTATCAATAATTCGAGGATTAACGTCTGTAGCTTATATTATTTTAGGAAACCAGCCAAGCCGAACCCAGTTTCTACGAGTTTGTTATCAAACCTTCGAGAACGCCTGAGCATCGAAACTTCAATAGATGCAGTGTGCATCGACAGATACGCTCGTGCCAATTACGTGAAGTTGCAGCAACAAATCTTCATGCGATATTTCGAGAGTTCATCTAACAGAAAGCTCTGAACTATCCTTATCTTAGGAAATTTTATTCCAAGAGAATTTTAAGTCTTGAGGAAAAAAAGAAAAAAATTATCTTCCTCGTACCCAGTCTCGGACGAGTCGGAAGATCTGCCGGCGACGTGTTTCTTGCCATTGGCGCACTTGCAGCACTGATTCCCCATGGCCCGAAGGTGCGCGCGATTTTCACACGACAATTCCAATTGGCAATATTATTGAACTCGACAAGCCGATCGATGCTCGCATAGTAAACGTCGAAAGCGTGTATTTGCTTATCGTATTTGAAGACGCCGGTCGAGTTCGGCAGTTTTCACGTAACCGCACATTTTATTTATAGTCCTCTGCCAATGTCCAATGTCCTCTTTATTTATTCATTCACCGAACACCAAGTTCTTTATTTTAGCGCGAAGCCACACAGCCGTTCGAAGCCTCCAAATCTTATTAAGATTTTCGCATTAGCGCTTTTATGCATTTCTTATTTTAACACGAAGGACGCGTCTGCGTGGGTTTGCCAGAGATGTGACTTAACAACGAGGACGCATGTGGGTTACACTTATATTTTATTTTTTTACCCGATTACTAATTTTTTACATAAATCACGATCCAGGCTGCGTCGAGTGACCAAGAATCAAAAAAAAAAAAAAACTGACGTAACTCAAAATTGGAAAAAAAAAGTGGTCCGAATGTTTCAAGTACTAAGATTTAACGAGACACACTGCGGGAGATACGAATAGTGAATGATCGATGATCGATCGGTATCGATGGGCTTTGTCGCGTCATTCGTTGCCGGAATGAGGATTCGTTCGTCGTCGGGCGTCGCGACGCTCCCTCGCAAGACGCAAGACTGATAGCGTCAGCGACGCTCGAGGCTTGGTTTTCCCGTTTCCAAGTCTTCCGGACCTTGGGCGTCGGGACGCGGTGCGTCGAGCGTTCGGACCCTCTTACCACATACGACGCCTTCGACGTCGACGTCGGTCCCGAGCGTCGGACGTCGTTTGCTCGCTTCGAGGGCTTTTTGCGAATCCCTCTCGAAGCCGACAGACTCAGCGTCCAATTTAGCTTCCGCGAGGCGTCATCGCGACTTTCGTAATACGCGTCGCGTGGCGTCGCTTCGCTATCTCTTTTAGGGTCCTAGGCAAATATTTTACAAGCTCATCCTGCCTACTGCGGCTCCATCCGGGCAAATTTAAATTTTCGACATTTTACCATTTTTTTTTCCATCTCCCACATTCGATCGGACATTGTGAACGACACTAACAGGAACATCCTGTTCCGAGATATTTTTGTTTCTCCCACTGTAGCATATCCCTGGTCTACAAGCTGACAGCAATGTATTGTGACGTCGGTGAGACTTAAAAATTTACGCCACGGGAGTGTGAATAATTAGGATAAAAAATATTTGTGAAAAAAAAAATTCTACCAAGAAATTTCAGCGAATCCAAGTAAAATAAGTAATTTTATCGTTTATAGGAATTTTTCAAAAAAAAAATTCTCGACCATGTGACTTGGTACGATTGACATTTTTTGTCTAACCCTTTTAACACTTACAATTCAAATTGTAGATGGTCATCGTTATCAAAGGCTCCTAATTTGAATTCCAGTAACAGATCCGAACCAGCTCTGACGTTTGCTTCCAGTTCCTTTTCTTCGTCCTCCCATCGTGGTTTACTGGGCTTCGTAGCACTATCTGAAAAGGTCAAAGGATCCGTATGAAGATTTCTCGGCTGGATTGAAAATTTAACGTCTTGATAAATCTAATCCGATCGCGAAATGAATCGCGTTGACAGGTGTTGCGGGAAAGCCGGCGGTCTTTAAAACACGTCCCGAGTTGTTAGGTTGGACTCTGCGGCTTTCTAAAAATACTGTTTAAATGACTTCGCACGAGCAACGAGACTTTCGACTGGCGTACAGCCTCCTAATAACGTGAGCTGCCTTTAATCTCTCATGATTTTCATCATCCGGCACAATTCGTCCTCGTATATAAAATCGCATAGGGTTACGCATAGGCGAACGGCCAGCACGTGTTTCCTATAAATAGAAAAGTGATCCCTACGATGGATTGATAAATTGCTACATTTAATAGGGGAAGAAAAACATTTCTTTTTCTACCACTCAAATCATTCATATTTTTTATTTATTCAAAAAATTGATCAATCGCCATTGGTACCCATGACTTTTGATAACGATCCCAAGCCATGGTGAAATCGCACGTAAAAAATTCGTAAAAATTTCGCGCATGGAATTTCGATATTTTTAACGCGCACTTTTGCAGAACCAAAATCCAAACTCCTGCCGCCAGTCGGTATCTAGCGTGTAGTAGAAAAATGTTCAGCCTTCGTGTTCGCTCTGACCGATCACATAAATATTTTAACATTCGGATTCTGGAGCCGGTGCCAGGAAGAAGGGCGAAAGTCCCAGGTTAGTCGGATGATCCAATGATCTATGATCCACGTAGCACCTTGGACACTGGTTAATATTCTCACCTGGTCTCATGATAAATTATTATTATTATACACGAATCAATGATATCGATTGATCACTACGACCGGCACTTATTAATCCTGAGTAGTCGAAAGTAGCTACTATCGCTATGCGGGAGCTTCGCCAGCTACTTGATCACTGGATCTGCACCAGAAGGCGCAAGGATGGATGAGAGATGATCTATGATTTTTTGGCGGTCGTAAATGGTTAGTATCAGCGAGCCAAGAGGGACAGGTCAGGAGAGCAGTGTTTTGGTAACCTCGAAGGGAACATGGCGCTTCGACGTCGTGGCCGTCGCGACGACGACGTCGGGTATTCAGGATGGTCCAGGATCGGTGAACTTGGTGAATTTATTCAGACGGAGATTTTTGTCAAGTCTTGTATCGAGCGGATGAAGATCAATGAAACCGGAAGTTGAGTGAACTCGAGTTCTGAACTGGGACTTACCGGTTAACGTCATCTCTTCAGGTGATTCGGTTCCTGATCCTTCCTCGATTTGACATCACTTCGGACACCGCCCGGCGAACGAACCAGTAAACCAGTTTTTTTTTGCTCGAGTCCGGAGCCACTGCGCACCCTGCACCTCTAAATCTGCTGGTAGGAGGCCTGCACGCTGAGGGCTCTGGTCTAAAATCGTCCCGAAGCGTCGCGGCGCCTCTTGCCGTCGACGTCGACAGCCGCCACAGGCATCGCGTCGACGCAATGGACATGCGCCACGGCACTGACGTAATTCCATCTTGTCATATTCTTATGTTCTCAATGCCAGACCAGCCGACGCGATCTCACGCTTTTACTTATCTAAACAATTCGACTTCTTTTTTTTTCATCGCTGAGCTCCTAATTTTAAGCTGGGACTTTCCTTGCTCTTTCCTCGTGCTTATCCAGTTGCCGAGGCGGGGACCATCTCGCAGGGCGCTCGTATGACCTATGTGGAAGAGGAAAGAGAAACGGTTGCAATTGGATGTTCGTAACCATAAATAAACGTCATATTATTTACATTGTAGATGGACGCTTTTTGATCAGTACATCAATTACAATAATGAGATAAATAAATAAGGAAATATATCTAATAAGAATCTTAGTGCGCTTAAAGTGTCATTCAATATTTTGATATTCCGATTAAAATTGTCGATAAGTGTCTTTCATGCGTTTGAACCTGGAGCTTCACGAGGTTCTTTTTGGTAGTAAGGTCGGATCGTCTGATGATCGTTGAATCGAAGTCGAGGTCAGAATAATAATTATCATTATTATTGGTGTCGACGTATCCACCAGCTGGGCAGTCGCCTGTGTATCTCTTCCTGGATCTGCCGATAGAGCAGTAGTCCAATGAAAGGCACAGCCAGGATTTCATTTTTGAAGATGTAAACGTAAACTGCGGCGAGGAGCAAGCTGAGGTCAGTCACGTAGCTCATAGTTGACCTCACTTTGATTTCGGCCCTGGCTGTAAGTTCGTCGACGCTGTCAGAGTACTCCCTATCGGTTAGCTTCTTCCTGGACCGGTACTTCTTGCTGTCCAAGGCCTGCTGAAGACGCTCCATCCTGGTCCCGGTCGGGGTTTCCGGCCGGTAACGGTCCCTTGAGTTTGACCTCGAAGACGGCCTACTGGACTTCCTCTTGTCTACCGATTTGTCCCGCGTACTTCGGATGTCCTCGGAAGCTGTCCTTGAGGGAGGTCGACTTCTTTGTGGGAGACCTCGCTCTTGAGAGACCGCACGATCCTCAGTCCTTGATGACGGCCTGGATGGCCTTCTCTCTTTGGAGACGTTCCTGGAACGTGGTCCAGGTGATTCCGTCCTCGAAGGAGGTCTACTCGGACGATCCTTAATTTCTTTAGCTGGTGTAGTTCCCCGGGAACTGACGCTGTTCCTCCTGGACTTTGGTTGATCTTCTTTTTGATCCTTGTTGACCTTGGAGACACTGCCTCTTCTATTTTGCGTCACTTTATTTTCTTTAACCTCCCTCTTTGGCGTCGGAGATTTTGTTTTCTTGGACATCTGCTTCCGTTCTGGGGACATGGTCTTCTCCCGGGCTGCATTGTCGGAGATTGAAGGTCTTCGTGCATTTTCATTGAGGTCCTTACCGGAAACGGATGGTCTTCTGTTTCTTTCAGTGTACTCAGCAGCGTTGATCGAATTTTTTCGAGGCCTGAATTCAACCGGCTCTATCTCTTCTTTAGGTGCCGCGTTGATGAGCTCTTCTCTCTTCAAGTAAACCGGATGCGCGGAATGCGCGACTGAATATTCTTTGACTATTTCAGTGTAGTGATTGATGACGGCCATGTTTGCTTCGGCTTCTTCTTCCAAGGAAGTCTGTCTGATTTGTCTCCGCCTATTTCGCGCAGCTTCCGCGGCCGAGAACATGTTCGCATTTTCGATATCTGCTTCAGATATAACTGTGGCTTTCATAGTGTCCGGCATGTTGGTCAATGATTTCTTCCTCAAGGTCACAGGCTCCGCTTCCGGTTGCTCCTCCTGCTGAAGGGTCTTTCTGATTGGTTTCTCAGGTGGTAGCGGTTTCTCCGGTGGGATTGGTCTGCCAAATTGGTTGAGGGGTACCACTTCCGTTTCAGTTCGTTTCTTCAAGATCGATTTGGGCATTACATTGGTCGGCGAAGACGGCAAGGACACTGGTCTGCTGGGCACAGGTGGTGAGATGTTTAGAATTGGGACCTTGTGTGCTGGAATAGGTGGTGGTTCCGGACTCATGTGGGGAACAGGATTTCCTCTTGGGTGATACGTGTCTTCTTCATCTATTATGGGTTGAGCCAATATCCTAGATTTTAATAATTTTAAATCCTCGCTATCGCTACTCTCCTCTTCAGAAGATTCTTCAGAGCTTTCTGTGCTCTCTTCCTCTTCTTCTTCTTCCACTTCTTCTTTCGGTACCTCCTCTTCAACATTGTCTTCAGGAACTTCCGTAGTTAGTTCCAACTTCTCAACAGTCAAAGGCATACTCTTCTCGTCCCACCTGTGAAGACGTTCGATATGATTCTGTGAAGATTCTATCTTGGACATCAAGTTCTCACGGTTCCCGGTCAAATTCGGATCGGAAGCTATGTCCTGAAGGACAGGTTGAGATTTCGAGGTGATTTGCAGTTCGGCTTGACCTTCGCTCGATCTTCTCCGTTCCTTTTTAGCTTGCCAAGCCATCTGAATCCCTACGCCCGAATTTGAAAGTCTCCGTCTGAGAGACACCCTCCTCTCAAGACTGTCGGAATCCACAGCTTCCATCGAATTGATCCTGATCTTCACATCAGACTTTTGACTCGGACCAGTTATCCCTGCAAGCTCACCAGTGCGCCTCTCGGTCTGAGCTTTACGCTTAGCAAGTTCAGCTTCTTCGACGGCAACCGCGTGATAGAATCGTTCCATCGCGCGTTCGTGAAGTAACTCGGTCGAGCTTACAGCTTCACGAAGAGTTTCCACCACTTCGTGATTAATGCTGAAGAGTTCAGGTAAAGACAAGGACATGGGTGGTGGTACGAGGTCCTCGTCCTCTGTTTCAGTCGCACTTTGAGTTCGTTCGATATCTGACAAAAATATAAAAACATGGAACCAGCGTCAAGAAGCTTGCCTATATTATATTTTTAAGTAATTTAATGATCATTACTTACGCGATGTGGCTTTTTGATTTTGCGTCTGATCACCTTCCTCGGGATAAAGTACTAGCATAAATTCGGAACTGCCATGAAGCATAGTCTCGTCATCCTCTCGAGGCACAGACGGTGACGTCGGTATACTGTCTACTGTGTTTTGTCTCTTCAGTCCAATGTGCAACGCGGGTCTGTCTACTGGCAAACTGTCTATCGTGTTTTGCTTCTGCAAGAGGAAGTGTGGCGCATTTGGTCTTAGAAGACTGTTCTCTTCCTGGCTCTCTTGGATCTTCGGCATTGGCAACGGAGAGAGACTACGCTCTCTGGAAACAGAGCGAGACCTGGTTTCCCTGAACGGAGAACGTCTTCCGGGTTCCAAAGTGGACTGTTTGGTGAGAGTGAGTGTTTCCTTTTTTTCAAAAGTGTCCGTCACCTGTGAAAAGTGATCGATGTAGATGGCGTGTACTTATTTTTATGAAGTTCACGTAATTATCTACCTCCGTGTCTCTCTCAAGCGTCACGCCGGGCTCGCTGCGGTCTTGCTTCGACAATTTTCGCGATCTTGCCGGAAGTTCAGGTTTGGTATCGATCATGTCAGCGAAAGTGACTCTGTCGGCTCTGGACAATCTTCCGGTACTGAGTCGCTGCGTCGAGGACCATTCTGAGGGAGTTTCCGGTACACCGCGCGAAGCCTCTTCGCGAGTTAAGCTTCTGGTCCTTTGAACGGGTTCAGCGAAGCTCACTTCACGCTTCTCTCGTGCTTTGTTGATCTCGTGTTGACTTTGTGATTTGCCGCGAAGCGGCGGCGCTGTGATTCTGCGAATAAATAAATGTCAGCAGGAGCAATGATTCCAGGGTGGGTCAACTGTTGAAGGAGTTACCCTCTCTTGGGATCAGGAATGAAGACCACATCACTTTCCTCGCTGGAGTCGCTCACGCCATATGGATTTTCGGCTTTTACTCGAAAACGATATTCCGAACCTTCTATGAGTTCACCGAGAGTCGTTGTTAGTTGCCGACATGTGGCAGCTTTCAGCCAGACGTCCCAACCGACCTGCAATATAATTTTTTATAAAAATCTGGATACGAATTTTCATTCATTTCACACTTACCCTATAATATTCCACTATGTACGTTCCGATCTTACATCCGCCATCGTCATCTGGCTCCTTCCACGATAGAGTCACGGATCTTCCCAAGGTCATGGTAACGATAGCTTTCCCAGGTGCTGATGGTCTGTCTACTCAACAGCCAACGGTATCTCCAATTAGAATCCATTTGACATTGACTGAATAAGAGATTAATAAAAAATGAGAAACTTAACCTGTCACGGTAACCAGAAAACTGGCGACGTCCTCAGCTAATTTATTAATTGCCTTGACAGTGTATTCTCCACGATCCTTCCGTTTGGCGTCAGGGATCTTAAGGACGCACTCGCCATCCATGCTTTCGACAATGTGCCGGTCATCATTTGGTACCAGTTCTCCATCATGGTACCAGTTGATGACAGGCGTTGGTCTCCCAGCTAGAGACACCTTCAACCTGATGGTCTCATTCTGCTCGAAAAGGAGACCATCTTCGTACTGGCGTGGTAGTCGAATTCGTGGGGGTGCTAACGGTACCAAGTGGTACCAATGGCAATGGACCAGATAGTGAGAAAGATGATCGAACGGGGACATGAGTAATCACTCGAATTAATATCTTGACAGTGACTAGTGTATACCTTCGAGAATGAGCCTAGCCCTTGTGCTGATGTGTCCTACTCGGTTGGTAGCAGTGCACTTTATTTCACCCTCGTCGTTCAGAGCTGTCTGATGTATCAGAAGAGTGCTCTTTCCGTTTTCGGTGAAAATTCTGGTCCTCCTGCTGCTGAAGATCTCAAAGCCGTCCTTGAACCAGGATATCTTCGGTAATGGAGTCCCGGCAAAGTGGACGATGAACTCAGCCTGGATTTATCAATTGAAAATATCTTCGTTTATCATTCCAGAGATCTTTCAATGACCTTAGCTGGCTGTTAGGTTAAAAGTCAAATAATCCTTGACGACTGATAACGATGTCTTGAGAATTGAAACTTTAACTGGACCGGACGGTTCTACATTAGACAAATCTGATCTGAATAGGTTACCGAAGAGAGTGAAATCTTTACCTGTTCGTTTTCAAGAACTGTCGTATCCTTGAGTTCGAGTTCAAAGTGTGGCGTGCTGGCTGCAGCTCGTTGGAGGGTCACCGTCAATGGGTCCGACAGTTCACTGGGTTCCGATAAGCCCAAAGCGTTTTGTGCTCTGACCCTGAACTGGTAGCGCCAACCAGGTTCCAAACCACTGAGTGTCAGCTCCGGAAAGGTACAGAGAATCGGTGCTGATCTGACCCAGTGCGGAGAACCCATACGACGATGTTCCACCAGGTACCCGATGATCGCTGATCCTCCATTACTTGGAGAACGCTCCCACCGGATGCTGACCACATCCGGTTGCGTGTCTTCGGTTCCTGGTACGAGGATCGGTTTACCAGGTGCTGATGGAAGACCTGGCAAATTTTTTTCAAGGATTCACTCAACTGGGCGGACGTTGAAAAGCGTCTTGGAGTACGTTTTCGTGAAGACTGTCGATTGTTGTATTATGTTGGGAGCATGTTAGACGCCCGGGCGGCGACTGTTGACAGAATGCCAAGGTGCTAATTGCGATCAGGAACAAAGGAGTCGCTAGAACCTGGGGATCGACTGTCTAGTAAAATTTTATAATATATTTTTCCATTTATACACCAATATCCCACAATATACTTTGAGGTCGATTTCAACTGCCCTTCCCAAGCTTGATTTAAGATTCTGTCATTCGTGTCACTTTCCCTAGACTAATTTATTAGTTAAAGCTTCAAAATAGTCAGTCCTGTTCTCTGGCATAAATTAGCCTCTGTCCAGCTTCAATATTTCCTGTAATAAATTTTAGTCGAATTTAATGAAGAGACTCAAAATGATTGTTGAAGAGACTCAAAATGATTGATTGTTGAGTCTCAAAATGATTTTTCCAACCTCGACAATGATCGTTGATTTATCGATCGTGCAGTGGGAAAAATCCCTGGTTACAAGGTAGTCGAATCGCTAGCACAAGCCAGAAGCCGTTCACACGCACGAAGGAAACATGCGCCAACACAGCCGTGCACGTGGCGCTCCCGAAATAAAACAGAAACCGTTTGGCAAGCTGAACTCTAACCACACTCAGGGAGGAAAACTATGCACGACACCAGATACCGAACCGGATAGCTCGAATAAATCAAGAGACATAATGACAATCGAAGAATTATCATCAAAGAGTATTTTTCATTAACGATCAGCCTGGACGGTCGATTACGATCTGTGACACCTTTGAAAAATAATCCACGAAACCGAAATCGTTTGGTTGAATAATTTTTTGAAAAACGTCTGGCTCGTTTTATTTTTCGAAAAAGTTAGACGTTAAAGGATCTTTGTAAGAGTGAACGATCAGGTGAGCTGTCATGGGAAAAATGGAGTTTGACAGGAGCAACGTGGATCCGTATAAAATGATCAGGCTGAGAAGAAGCCTAGATGATCGTCTCTAATAATTTTTTTTTAGGTCTATCTACTGTGATTCACTGGGAAGCGTCGCGTGAAAAAGTATAATTGTAGATTTCGTATTTTTACGACTGTGCTATTATTCAATTTCTACTACAGACACCAATAAGATGCGTTCACAGGCAAAATTATTGAATGACAGAGGATGACAAAACTGGCAGTGTCTCAGGTTAAGTAACTTCAAGAGGAGTCAATTCCACTTCGACATGGACCAGGGTCAGATGAGCTATCAAAAGTCCACTGCAGGCGTTACATGTGCATCTAAGTTAAACAGACAGATGGAAGGAAAAAGATGCTAAAGGGCCAGAGGGAAGATGGGAATGAGCGTAGGTGCCGAGTAGGTTGGAAGAAGAGGAAGGAAGCGCTAAGGTCGAAACGTAATGTCGAAATGTCGAGGTAGGACGGCGTACCTGGACCATCCCAGTGCACTCTCTTGGAGTTCCCGGTGGTGGTTAACGGTTGACTCTTGTTATAGGAGGAGGTCTTCGTCGGGGCGTTGCCCATTGCCACTTGGCGTGCGGATCCACCGGGGGTCGTTGGATTAGGATCCCCAGTGCGCACGCCGGACCAAGACGCCCGATCCTTCAGATCCTACGGGGTGTCAGGGCAGCTTGTTCAACATTCCAGGAGTCCCGAGGTCGTTTCAGCCAGACGGCGATGGCGGCGTAACCAGCAATTTTGCTCTTCTCTGGTTGGACCGGAACCAGAGGACGCACTGTGTAAGGTCGTGAGAGCTCGAGAGGGTCGCGTGATGTGATAGACGAAGAGAGAGAGAGAGAGAGAGAGAGAGAGAGAGAGAGAGAGAGAGAGAGAGAGAGAGAGAAAGAGAGAGA